CAGGGATTTGTACTGGACTCTTAGGGGACGTAGGGCTGCTTGTCAAAATAGTTTGCAAGGTCTGTTCATAGACCAGTGCTCCTGCAGCTCTTCTCTGTGACCACAGTGAGTCACTGCTCCCACTTCTCATTCCATTCTCTTTCACTAAAACACAGGCAAGCACAGTGGCTGACTTTACAGCTCCAAGTGATGTGGAAATGCTCTATCTCCTGCATGAAGGAGACTGTAAACTGCATTGTCACTTAAATTGCTTTTGGTCAAGTCGTACTTCTGGGCTCTTGCACAGTTGTCATAAGCTCACACTTTGCAGTAAAACTATTACCTGTGCTCTCTGGTGCTTTCTATAGGTGCTTTTCCATGTCTCCCATGACCTGGCCCTCGCAGCCCTGAGCTGTCACTTGGGTACGTGGGATGAGGCAGTGAAAAGTATTCTTGGAGCTGTGACCCGCAGTTTTGATGCTGGGAATTTCATTCTGATGCAGGAGATTTGCAGTATCATCCTTCCTGAGGGTAAGTCTCCCCTCGTGTCTCTTCTGGCACTGACAGAGCTCTTTACTGCCAGCACTGCTGTGTCCATTAATGTTCCTAGGCTAAATAATGTTTGGAAGCAGCAATAGCCATATCTGTGGAAACTTCTGGAGTTTGGCTAGTACAAAGGCCACTGGGTGATGAAAATTCCTGACTGTGGAAGGAAGCTCAGCTGTGTCACCTGGTGTGAGTGATGTAGGAAACTGAGTGAATTCTCTTCTGTGAGAGAGATAGGGGACATTAGAATGCTGTGTTCATTTCATAGCAACACATACTCCAACTTGTCCTCCATTCTCTTTAGGGTATGCAGTGCATTTAGTCTGTGGCTTGTGATTATGTGACTCGTGTTTTGCAGCTTGAGACCAAGGAAATTTGCTGTAGCTGATGAGAACATTTTAGCTAGAACAGAGTATTGTGTTCACAAAGATACCAAAGATGTTTTTGCTTTCACACTTCATGTACTGCTTTGCCAGCATCTGAGTAAATCCCTGATTTGGTTTTCCAGGGTTTCCTGGTTCATTTAACCAGATCTGCTCATTGTCTTTGGAAAGTTCTATGAACTATTTCTAACCCTTTTCTCATATTTAGGCTGTGATGACCTGAGAGACAAACTGGACAGCACAAACTCTCAAAGCATGGGTGCCTGCAGGAGTCTGGAGGGCTTTGTGGCTTACAGACTGCTCTATGACTTGTGGTGGAACCCACCCAAAGACTCCCTTGGCCTGCAGAAGGCTATGTTGGATCCTGTGCCATGTCCCAGTGAGCAGACAGCTCTTGAGAAGATCTGTATTTCAGGTGACCCATCCCCTGAGGAAATGGTTCAAACTGCAGCTGAGGTGGGTGAAAACCTCTGCAGTACAACTGAAGTTCCCACGTGCGAGACACAGACTGACTCAAGAACTGACTCTGTTGATGTGGTAGACAGACAGTCAAAACTGAAGGGTTGCCAGGTGCTCCTTTCAGAAGAGATGGCTGCCTTGCAGAACACCCAGCGAGACATAGCTGAGGTCCAGGAGACTTTAGCAGAAATGATCCGCCAGCATCAGCAGCAGAGAAACAATCTCCAGGAGAACACAAATGGAAACACCCAGGGAAGCAACCTGGAACAGAGTTCAGAGACTGAATCAGACAAACCAGGCTCTGACAGCAACGAGATTAATTGGTAAGACTCAGCACATGAACGAGTGGGTTGAAAAGTGTTGCTTTTTTGTGTGTTTGTACAGCGAATTTCTTGTTTTGCCTAGACTGCCTCTAATCTCCAGCCCATCACCCAGGAACATTTGAATATACAGCTCAGGAATCTTGCATTTCCTCTGGGCTGAACCACCACATGCATAAACTCAATGCAGCTGAATAGTTTTGTGATACATGAGGTGGTGTACAGTGAATAAAACAGGGCAGCTTGAAAAAGGGAGGATAATGAGAAGGCTAAGCATGATCTGAGCGTTCTGTTTCTTTGTTGAACAATGGTTTGGGACTTTACCAAGAACAAGCTAGGGCATAAAACACTTGGCCAGTTCTCTCCTGTGCTCCTTGTCCAGGTGGAGGCTACACAGTCACCTAACAAAACAGTTACTCATGACACCTGCTCTTCTCTTGACAGCAAAGATGAAGCAAAGCAACCAGTTACACTCCCTGAGCTCACAAAGCAACTTTTGAAAGCGAAGCAGAAATTAGCTGAATTCCCAGACAATTTAAAGGTAAGTATTCTAAAGAGCCATTGCAGTTCTGAAGAATGTCATTCTGCAAGGGCAGCCTCATCACAGAATCCCTTTCATACAGAAAGGAACAGTGATGTTCCTTGTGATCCTCTGGCAGTTCTGAGAAAGCACTGAGACATGGCATCAGGATGGTATTTTTCTTTCAAGTGTAATTTTCCCCATGCAGTTGGAAAGCACAGCTAAAGCTACTGTGTGGAAGAACTCAAATGAGATATCATTATGGATCATCCCATGCATTTTAAGAGTAATCTCTTGCTACTTGTGTATGAAAAAAATATATAAACAATGAAATAAAAAACTTAAGCTATAGAATGGTCTTTATGGATTAGGAACTGTAGAAAGTACCTATCACACATTCGAAAACACGTAACCATGGTGACTGGGCAAGAGGGGGAAAACCTGCATAAATGTGAAGAGAAAATGCATCTGACTCCTGGCTGGCTGTTTTGAGAGTGTTACAAAGCAGTGTCTTTAGAGAGCTGCCTGATGATGTTGAACAACTGTAATACAAACTGTAGATGTCACCTCGTATTCCTTTTTGTTGCAGGTGTTCCCATTCCCTGACGTGCTGGAGTGCTGCCTTGTGCTCCTTCACCTTGGATCCCAGTGTCCTCCTGAGCTGCAGGAAGAGGCTCTGGCTCTCCTTAGGAAACACGGTGATGGTGTTCACAAAAAGGCTGGCAGGAGCTTCTTGACGTGACATTTGGAGACCAAACTGTGTCCTGTGAGCTGCCTCCAGCTGCTTAACACTAAGGCTGCTCTTTCTTCAAGTGAAGGCTTCTTTTGATGGCTGGGGCTGTTACTGATACAAAATGTCAGGTTTATACACATCCACTTGTGCTCATCCACGGATACTTATTTAAGGAGACTTAGAAAATCAAAAAGCAGTAGAGTGTGGGCTTGAATTGTTATAACGGATTTATGTATAGTTTTTTATTTGTTGGACACTCTGCTAATTAAAGATTTTGCTATTTACATGCAAGAGGAAGTTTTGAGCACTGTGTAGTCTTTCAGCAGAGGAGGAAGAGTGGCTGCCCTCAGGAAAATCAATGGTTTCTGTAAGCAAACTGACCCTTAGGCCAGTAATGTTCTTAAAAGCATTGTGAATTTATTTTCTCTCCTTTAAATAAAGTCTTCTACCACCACGAATAGGTATTTAATTTGATGTATAGAAATAAGTTCTGTAGAATGGTGCTGTTCTAGGAAGTGCCAAAAACAATCCAGGATTTTGCAGTCTTGAACATGCAGTATTTTAACCAGTCTTCCAGCTTACTTAAAAGTTTTTTCTGTCTTGTTAGAAAATAGCTTCTATGAAAAGCACAAGGGTGCATAAGCCTTAGTAAACACAGCATCTATCCTAGTCATTTTTAGAAGCCAGGTTTTAAACGTAGCAAAAAAAGTTGATGGGGGAAAGTGTGCATCATGAATTTAGAAAGTTTCGGGTACGGTTAAGATTATTGTTTAATAATTAAAAGCAGGAATGGTGGGTTTTTTAAATCAAAAGCTGTTCCAGATTCTTCCAGACAAAATGCAAACTTAATGCAAATATAATCCTGACAGATTTCCTGCTTTGAGCTGAGTAAAGCCTCAACAACTTCAAGAGCAGCAGGTGAAAGGCAGGGCTTAGACAGAAACAGGATCTTGCTGTAGATGTGTTTAATCAGTGAAGTGTTGCCACCAACTTGAATTTGTTAAATTCTGTACAAAGCATCCAAAAACCAGGCGGGGGAGCCAGTGCTTAACCAAACTGCCTTCCTGCACTTACAGCCAGAACCACTGGAGTTTAGATGGAGCAGAAAACTTCACACACTGCTTTGTCCCTTTCAGTGGCCACTCTGCAGTGCAGGAATCCTGCACCAGACTGAGCTGTGCTGAGAGACCAGCAGGGAGAGAACCCAACGCTGCCAGAGCTCTTCAGCTCAGCTTTCCTCAGCTACTGTACAAAAAGCTCTAAAGACATTTTACTAAGAGCTACCCCAGGAGCACATCATAAATGGTAAAGGAAACAAACATGAGCATCTTTAGGCATGTATCTCCCAAATTCAGATTCCAAAGCCTCAAGTGTGGAAATTCTAGTGCTTGATGGAAAATCCAAAACAAAGCCTGGTTTAAAAAAATTTATTTTACAAAAAATAAAACTAGTCTTTACAAACATTTCAAATACCAGCTCTAAACCTCAACTCTTTAATATTGGATTAAGCTTGTTGAAAATGCCAAAGTCCTAAAATTGTTTGACATGTCCAAAAGGATTATTTTAAGAAATGTCATTACAGAGCTGTTGAAAAAAAGAAATACTAGAGAATGTTTTTTTCGAAGTCAGAATCCCACGTTCTTCATCCTCTTAACTACTTTTCAGGTGTTTATAATGAAAAAAAACCAGAAACTCAGGAAAAAAAATCAGGAACACTGTTTTACCTGTTAAGCATATTGTAAAATTAGGGGCTGGAGAAGCAGGGTGGAGAAGAGGAACAAATATTTGTCCATGCTGACCTAGTTGTGTTGCAGAAGAATAAAATTTGTAGGTTTTAAGTTGAAGAAAACTGAAATCAGAGTATTGGTCCAATCCCTTGTCAAAGGAGAACTTTTGGGCCTCTGAATGTATTTCCAGAACAGTTCCTTAATACCCGTAAGAACAAAGCTGAGGCTTAGTATGAGTCAAAGCAGTAACAGAGAATTAGAAACTAAGGAGTGCTGATCAAATCAGCTCCATTAATCTCCATTCCCTCTGCTGTTAAAGCAAATCTCTGGATATTTTTAGCTGCAAGGATCATTTTAATTTCATCCGTTCCCAAACCTCTGCAGTGATCAAAGGGAGCAATTTCCACAGACAGAGATAAAATAAGCAACACATGAGGTGAAGCTGTCACCCTCACAACATGCAGAAGTTTTAAAATAAGCTTTATAAAACACAAACGTATTCACGTGCATGTCTGTGTCCATTTTCACTGCATTTCCCAACCCTTAGTTCTACCCAGTATTTTCTACTGGTAAATCTTCCTTGCAGATTCTGTACAGTATAAAGAGGAAAAAAACAGAGGTATACACAGTAGATTCTGTCCTTTGCCCTTGGTATTAAAAATATGGCAAACCACAAATGCTGGCATTAGGAATTCAGTCAACTCTTCTGTGTTTCAAAGGAAAATGCAGCTCTTCAGCAAAACTGCAAGGCTTGGTGCAGCCTGTGTACTGGAGATGCTTTTTGTTTGAGATACTGTTTAGGGAAAAGGGTTGAGGACAGCAGCTGCCAATATGGTAAACATGTTCTGAGGGGCACCGCTCATCACGGCTGCATGTTGTTGATAATGGCCAAAATGCTCATTTTCTCTTGGGCTGAGTCCACATCTTCATTTTGTTTCTGAGCCACTCCTGTGCCGAGGCCATACAGTCGTCCACAATACTTTGCATCATCAATTGTATCCTCAAAAAATAGCTGCAGATTAAGAAAAAAAAAAAAAAAGAGGAACAGATATTGTTTAATTGTGCCTCTAAACCAGAAAACATCCAATGTTAATTAACAGCTCAATTGAAATCAGCCACCTCCAAGATGGAGTGTACAAATTAAAATAAGCACATGAAAGGCGAGTAAACAGAACAAGTCTGTGCCGTTATCAACAATTCCTATTCTGACAGTTTCAAGTGTGATGGCCAAAAGGCTCAAAAATCCCAAACCAAAACAAACAAGTACATGGTGACATTTATGGACAGGAAGCAGAGAAGGAAGAACACTGCAGTACCTCTTTCATTCTGAAAAATGCCATTCCTGTGAGAAGAGAGTCTGATCCTGCCTGGTGCTGTCGTCCAATTCGCTGCAAATCCAGCTGATCTGCTACTTCCTGAAGGCCACCCTGCAAAGAGAGCAGAAGAGATTTTATTTTGGAAGATCCATCTCTTGCCAAAATTGCCACATTTCTCCAAAACATGAGGGCAAACAGGGTATGATGAACCAACGCAGATCCCAGCAGTATGCACACCCAGCTGTGAGTGACACACAGTGGGAAATGCTGCTCAAGAGTCATAAATAACTTCTCAGATTTAGGTGCCTTTTTTTCCTGGTGCAGATACTTGAGATAATTGTGGGTACATTCATAGGTTACACATGCTAAGCCTTTCCCTCCCTTTACTCAAGGCTGTGATTCAATAGATAAATTACTTTAAACCCTCTTACCCGTTAATCAAGTCATGAAGTATTTCATGCAAAAGAAATACACTTGCATAGGAGACATAAATATGCTGAATTATAATTAGCCTCTGATACACAAATCAGAAGGCTGTGGCAATGTCCCCTTTATAATAAACACATTGCTAAGTCTGAAACTGGGGAGGGCAGTATCCATTAGACACGAACTGTGTCTCAGGTGCTTCTGTGTCACTACTGACTTTTATACACATTCCAGTTTCAAGACAACATATGCAGCAGTTCTGCCACTTGTATTCCTGTACATGTTCAGAGTTGATGCCCATCATCTGCTTGCTGGGGAGATGAAAGTACCTTGAGGTTTTTGCAGCTCTTCATTAAGTACTTCACATCATAGATAGATGGGAAGAAAAGGTTTAAGATATGGAAAAATTCATGTTCCTCTTCTGGCAACCTGGAATCTGTCAACAACTTCACCATGTAGCCAAAGTCATAACCACTGAAAACAAAACCATAGAGAAACCAGGTAAGCAGGCAGTACCTGTAACCCAAGGTACTAGTACCTCCTTTTTCAAATGAATTTTATTTGCTGTGCCTTTCAAGCCTTAACATTTTCTGACATTCACAAAACTCTAGATTTCAGCCAGAACTCATCCTGATTTTCTATGTCAATGTCGGACTTTGGGATGCTCCCCAAATGCCTCCACTAGCCTTTTTGGGGAATACCTAAGCCATCGGGAAGAATACACATTTCTTCCCAACTCTGTACATTTCTGTAGCTGAAGGCAATACAGAAAAGCAGGAAACCCTGCAAGTATCTGTTGAGGGAGAAGGAGGTGGTGGCAAGTCCTTTCATTTGTGATACCATGTTGGACCAGAGGCTTCCAAATCAATTTCAAGTTGATTGAAATGCTACAAGAAAGACGTCTTAACCACACAGGTGGAAGTTCAGAGCACCACCAACATTGTAAGGAAGAAGAAACAAAATCCTTACTTTACAATGCATTTACTAAATGTAGGAATCACACTTCAACTTGTTAGTAGCTTCTTCAAGAGAGGGAGACTGCAACAGCAAAAGGATTCACAAGCAGTCAGAAAGTCAGACCATGAAGTTTCCTTACTTCTTAAACTTGGCCTTCAAATCTTGAAGCTTATTTTAACTGCATGACTACTAATTTTTCTCCTTAAAATCTGTCAATCTCCACGGAAAATGCAGAGAATTAAGAAGATATTTAACAGGGTCAGTGAGCATCCTGGACCCACCTGTGGAAGGACAGCCATTTCACACTGTCACTGAGGACAACCCCAGATGTCATCAGCAATTCAGCAAAATGCAGAGTATCAATCCCTTCTTCTTCATGCTTCTGGAACTGCAGTCCAGAGCTGGCAAGGAGGTCTATGGAATCCTGAGAGTACATGTCTTCCCTGAAGGAAAAAAAAAGCAAGTTTGCACTCAGGATGCTGCCAAGACAAGCTCATTTTAGAAAAATTCTCCCCACACTATGTTAAGAATTGGACTAACCAGTAGAATACTTCTGGACAGGGTTCCAATTTGTCTCTAGAAAATTCAAACTGACTCAGTTTCAATACCACTACTGCAGCCTCCTACATCCATAACAAGCTGTTCTGTGATCATAACTAGTTAACACTTCCATTGCTAGTGCAAATTCCAAAGATTCCACCTTCATAGGACTGAAGCTGACAGTTTTGAACATTGTCCCTTCTGCAAGGGAAGCACCACGGATGAGGGCCCAGAGGAAAGGGGAGTTCTCCCAAACAGGAAAATTTAATCTCCTAATTCTAAAGCACTGACCATCATTCCTGTCTACATTTTTCCTCTTCACAGCATGAACCACCTTATCAGCACCTCCACTTCCATCTCTGAGTAAACAGAATTGCATCATTCTTGACTCAGAAAGGAGGACAAGAATGATGTGCTTGGTGGAGAGCTGAGCAGGAACATGACTTCTCTACTGGTGTCATTTGAGGGGGAGGAAATACACAGAGCTAATATCATAACTCATTTAAATGAAGTGATCACACAGCAAAAAACACTTCACTCTGATTTCAATATCTGTAAGTGGCTCACAAAATTTGTGGAGTAAATAGTGCAACTTTTGGGGTCAAGAACTGGATGATCATAGTAGCTACAAATTTTTGTAATGCTTTCCAATGACAGTTTCATAAAAATAGATTGATTTCCTCTACATATGTGGTTTTGCCAGATAAACTCTTTCTTTATTTCCAGACAGCTCTAGTGGTAATTATGCTGAGTTTATCTTTATAATTACAGGGGAAGGGATAATGAAACTTGTTTCAGCTGCAATCCAGGATATTACAGTATGGAAGAGACAAGAACTGCCACACTCCATTTAACAAGATTCATTCTCCTGAACAGATGTGATGATTATAGCAACATGTTTTCAGATCCCAGCTTATACTTAAGCATGGATCTGTAAAGAGGTCTTTTTCTTTTTTATGAGATCAGCACATCCATTTATTTTTAGCAGAAAGAGATGGAGTTTTACATACATATACATATATATATATATATATATATATATATATGAAGTTTCAAACACTATTTCAGGAAAAAAAGGCATACAAAATTATCAAGAGAAAAGGTAATAAGGATAGAATTTTAGCATTGCTTTGACTTCCAGAGACACTGTTAACTCCTGGCAGATTCCCACATAGTCTGTAGTAGAATCAGAATCCTTATTGCTCAGAACCAGCGAGCAATAATGAACACATGGACACTGGTATTTGCCAAAGGAAAGCATCACTCCAGCAGAAGGGACCAGGGAATTACTGCCAAGCCCAAAGACTCACGTAAGGTTGAATTTGAAGTTGAACTGCCAGGTGTTGATGCCAGAAGGATATTCCCCCTTCTCATTTGTGAAAGTCAGGCCCAGCTGGATAATTTTCAGCAGGTCAACGTTACAGCGGAGGAGCTGGTACTGATAATCTATGGAGCTGCGGAATTCACCGATCGGCCTGACAACAACTCCGGGGAACTCCGTGTCCTGGCACAGAAGGGAAAACGGAGTTTCACCATGGGTTCTATTAGGAGTCATTATTACCCCTCTGCTAGGAGGACAGTCCAGACAGTGAAAACCATCACTGCTCTGAGGAACAGTCAATGCCTACATTAACAAAAACTACTGTCAGTCAAAACACACCTCAACAACAGCAGCCATCTGCTAGAAGAAAAACTACCTGTAGGTGAAAAACCTCTTACTTAGCCAGGGACTAATAAGTGTGCTATCTTTGCTGAATACTGTTTTTACTCTCAGATTGGGTCACCAAGCTTCTACTGACTATACACAAAACCTTTCACAACACACCCAGTGCTGAGCACCTGACACAATCTCTCCCTTGTCCAAGAGGTTTATCTGTCTACTCTTACAGCACAGTCACTAAAACAGACCCTAAGAACACTCTCAGTGAGACTAAAAAGAAGCAAAAAAGCTCATTTCCCATTGACAAATGTTAACAAAAAAAAAATCATATTGACTTCCACAGCTGAATTTGACACCAAAATCCCACACACTTGCAGAGGCACCTGTCTTTTGACACATTTCTAATGAGGACTTTTCATATCTTGAAGTTCAGTGTTCCTAAGCAAAGCTGGCAGAACTTACAGCATCACAGCTAGAACCAGCTCTTTATCTAACACACTGGGGTGCTGCCAAGCAGACACAGACTTGCAAGAGGAGGAGGAGATTCCTCCCACATGGGGGAGATTACGCTCTACTTAAACAAAACTTTCTGAACATACTGTCTTATCTACAGCCAGAATATTTTTCTTCCCTAAGAATCAACATCTGCCCTCATTAGAAAGGAGGCAACCCAGCTGGCTAGCAGTCACTTGCAGGCCTTTTCATCTCCAGTCCCATGCCATCTTCTATAATCAAATGGGGAAAAACATTCAGAAGACAAACACACCAGTGGAAAAATAAGGATTTAAACTTATTTGTGGCTTGTTTCATTTTCCTGTTGCACAAACTAATATACTATGAATAGCTAAATAATAAATAAATTCATGTTTTTAAGTTGGTCTCCCTCTTCCCCTTCTTTCAATCAATCCATACTCAGCACTGCTTATATTAAATTCTGGAAAGCTACTAAACAACTTTTTATTTTTTCACCTCCTCTAGTTCAGTCTGACTGGGGGTAGGGAGAAATCATTTCTCACTCAAGAATCAACTTAGTCCACAACCCAAAAAAATCCCTTGACGAGGGCAATTAGGTCAAGTATAAAACACTTACCATGGCAATGTAGCTGTAACTCAGAACAATCTCCCGGATCTTCCTCATCTCTTCCTCCAGGTTGTTGGCCCATACTTCACAGATCACCTGGCTGTTCTCTGCAAGGGCTGCTGGCATCTTGCAAGGACCAGAAAAAGGCAGCTGATGCTGAACTCGAATGACAGAGTAGGATCACAAGCTGTGCAATCTTATCAGTGTGCTGCATTAAAGAGATAAATAAATAATGTTTTAAATGAAGAGTGACGTGAATAAATGCTCAGTAGGAGTCAGTCACACTCCCATTTTCACCTTCAAATAACCCATTTAAAATTTACACCAAGTTCTTTCTTGCTTTATCACTTTCTGTACGCATGCTGAATGAAATCTAGAGCATCTGTTCACAATATAAGAGCAGATGCACAATCAACAGTCCAGTTATTTATGTAAAGAATCACTATTCCTATCTTCCTTTTCCTGGCATAAGCTTTGACACTTTGGGGACAAGGCAGTGAATCCTTATCTTTAATCCTCAGCTATTTCCCCATCCCTGGAAGTGCTCAGGGCCAGGCTGGATGGAGCTCTGAGCAACCTGTTCTAGTGGAAGGTGTCCCTGCCCACAGCAGGGAGGTGGAATGAAATGATCTTGAAGGTCCCCTCCAATCCAAACCCCTCTGTGATTCTATGATGAAGACGATTGTTTAAACACAGTAACACAATGCGGTAGAGAGAACACTCATTAGCACGAGTTTCAATGGGTATGAATATCTAAAGGGGAGTGCCAAGAAGATGGAGCCAGGCTCATCCTGGTGATGCCAAGTGACAGGAAAAGAGACAACGGGCAGAAAGTGATGCTCAGGAAGTTTTCCCTGAGCATGAGGAAGAACATGAGCAAAAAACTGCGCTGGGACAGGGCCTGGGAACGGATTGCCACGAGAGGTTTTGGAGTCTGCCTCAATGGAGATATTCCAGAACCGTCTGGACACAATCCTGTGCCGTATGCTCTGGGATGACCCTGCCTGGGGAAGGAGGTTGGACCAGTTGACCAGTTGTCCCTTCTAACCTGACCCATTCTGAGATTCTGTCCTTCTCTGATGTAACTCGGGACACACTGCCCCTCAACTGGAGGGATGTTTCAGCTGGAACCACCGGCAGTGTCAGCAGTGCCACAGCTCGGGTGAGCAACCGGCTGTGCCCCTTTCCCACAATAACACCGGCGAACCGCTCCCAGGCGTTTGCAAGGGGGCTCCGCCTCAGCCCACGGCTGGGACCTGAGCCATCAGTTACCCGGAGGGACAGAGCGCACCGCCACAGCCCGGCCCGGCCCGGGGTCACCTCAGGGCCCCCCTCACAGCCGGGGGGCGGCCGGACGCGGCTAATCGCGGCCGGAAAGCGGGAGGGCCGCTGTCCGCGCCGCCGCCCCCTCATCCTCAACCCCAGCCCTGCGTCCCCAGAGCCTGTCCCGCTGCCTGCCTACCCGTCCCGCTCCCCGGTACCTCCCGGCAGCCGCGGCCGGGACACGCCGCTCTCGCCCCGCGCAACCGCGATAGCTCCGAGTCCCCTCCAGCCGCGAGGGGCGGCGCTTCCGGGTCTCGCGCCGCTTTGCCTCTCGCGAGAGGGAGCGAGAGACGGCGGAGCCGGCGGCGCGCGCGACGGGGCGGGGGAGGGGGCGGGCACGTTACTGCGCGCGGCCGCGGTGCCCGCACTGCGCGTGCGTCCAGACCTGGACGGCTCGTGTTTCTCCTCCTCCTGTCCCCCCGCAGCGTAGCTAATGGACTCGGCCGGGCTCCCCCATGCTGCAAACGGCGGGCGAGTCCAAACTCCGCGGGGGGGGGGGGGGGGAGGGATGAGGGATCTGGGTACCTCCGCTCCTTGAGGGAAGAGGCGCCATAACGCCCACCGGGGCTGGGGTTGGCTCCCAGCATGGGGAGCCCCCAGCACCCCGACCCGTTGGGACACGGGCTGCGCCGGGCCCTGGTGGAGCGTCCCCGAAAGAAGCAGCGGCCGCCCCTCCCTCACCAAGGGGAGGTGAGGGGGTCCCCAGGTCGGGGTTAGGCCCGAGCCCCCCCGGGCTCCCAGGCCACGGGCGCGCAGGGTGGGAGTGGGGTGAGGGTTTGTTTTCCAAGGGGGATTTCCTAAGGCCCAGAGAGCGAACCACTGCTGTCCTGGCACGCCTTGCTCCTATGGTGTAGTGTGGATCAAGCTCATTGACTGAGCAAGTTCTGCTTTTTCCTGAAAGAGCTTAAAAGTCATTTAAGTTCCTATTACACCTGCAGACTTTTAGTGTGGCTTCTCCTGTTCCAGGAATGGAATTTAAATTTCGTTAGCAACAGCAGGTTGTAGCTGGTAAAGCAGCTCCTGCTTGTGTAACACGGCTGCCAACACTTGCTTTGCTGGCTGATGCTGATGGCAGATAGGCAGTTCATTTGGAAACTTGTTACTAATTAAGCTTAGATAGTATTTGCTTTCTTGAGACTGCCTTCCTTCTGGACAGGGTTGCATCTGTTTTAATATATGTATGTGCCTCTCTCTATATATATATGTTCTGGTACTGAATTATCTGCCCACCATATAGGAGTCTTCCCCTGAATCTCGGCTACTTGCCCAGGATTTTGATCAAAATATCTGAAAAGCAGATCTTGGTATCTTTCACATGTCAGACACTGTTCAGTGTCTCAGGTTTAATGCTCAAGCCTCAGCAGAAATGTTACCTTTAGAAAAGAAGAGGGTTCTTCAAGTGCTGCTGTGTCGAGTAACATTGCTGCTGTCAGCATCTTATTACATTCCCTTTATTGAGCGTTATTTTGATTCAGAGTTTATCTTCAGGGATGATAGAGAGTTACCCTTTTGCCTGAGCTCTGCAGTCTCTGGCGTTGCATAATTTATGCAATATGCACTATGCTACACTGCCAGAAAGTAATCACCTTTCTTCCCGTGGTCAGTTGAGTCTGGGGTTTTGTACACGGAATCTGTGTTGTTAGCAGGTTGATTCAACGGGCTGGATTACAGCACCCTGTAAATATTAGGTTAAATTTTTATTTCCCGGAAGAGTTCAGAGTAATTTTTCTTGCTCATAAACCCAGCGCTTGAAGGGATGTTGAGTCCAGGGGAAAAGAGAGGATGCATTTCCTCAGGCCCTTGTAAATATTTGTGCCTTGGTGCTGTAATAAAAATGTGTTGCAGGCAATAATCACCTGTGATAAATTACATTTGTAGTGTGTAAAAATTTATGTGTAAAAAAAAGCTGTTCAAGGATGTTTGCAAGCCCTGGTGGGAAAAGCTGGAGGCACGTTTTGCTTGATGAGATCAGAATTTTTTTCAAACATGACATGGCTAATAAAGATTCAGAATAGCTGGGAAAGGCACCCTGCTCTTTACAAAGTCCCATCATTTCTGTGTTTGGAGGTTTCCAAGGTTGCCTCCAGCTCCAGCACTCCAAAGCAGGTCTTGAAGAGTCCTCACACCTACACATGAATGTAGAGCTGCATTATAAGATGGAATAAAAGTCTTTAGCTCAACATTTTCACACTGGACAGCTTGAGCTGTGTGTCCTATTATGCCTTTTCTTTAGAGCTTAGACACAGCACCACAAGAAAACTTACTGTGAGAATCCTGAAAGGTGAATTTACTTTTTCCTCACCCTTCTGTTGTTCCACGTGCTCCCAAAGCAACCACTGCAGTGCCACATGCCCTGGCAGAGGGTGAGAAATCTGGTTCAGAATGCAGGGAATTTGGCAGTGGGTGATGTGTGCCAAGTTCAGATTCCTCTTCTGCCTTAGAGGAATTATCAGTATGGGCTTGTTCAGTCCCCTGAAAGATACTTCATGGATTTTTCCCTGATGTTCCTCTCAAACAGTGAAACAACCTATTACAAAAACCATGTGGAGTGAACAAAGTTGTATTATGAAGTGTCTGATCAAAAGGCTTTTTTTGCTGCGAAGAAGTCAGACTTCCTGCATGGCAGAGATTGCAGCAGCATTGGAGTGTCTGTGGTGGAGACATCAGCACAGGGCAGCCAGCAGGCAGGAACAGCTGTTTGATTAGTGACAACCTGTGCTGGACACAAAACTGCATCAGAGGATCAATGGCATTTACAACCCTATGACTAATGTGGTGAGCTGTCCCTATGGGTATGAATATTTCAGAGATTACCCATGTTGGAACTGAGTAGTGGTTCAAAAGGAACATAGGTCTGAAATTCACTCTTATCACCTACTATTGGCTGTTGGATGAACAGACCTCCCCCTGCAAGCTAAAATCCAAAGATCAGCTGAGGACATTATCCTTATGGCGCCCCTCTCTTGAGATGCTCATTTTCACTTCCTCTGCACGTGAGTAAATAGTTCGAAGGAATCACATTCCTCTCTGCTCTGTTTGATAAATACCAGTTAGTAGCAATGGCTAAGAATTACAACTTCTGTCTCGACCAGGGAGTAGTTGGAATTAGGCAAGAGAAAGTGATGATGGAAACTGTAACAGTGTTAAATGCTGTTCACTCTTGCAGAGCTCTCTGCAGTTCCAGCTCTGCTGGCATGAGGTGTTACTGAGAAAGAGTGTGTGTTGCTTCACCTGTGAAGGACAAACAAAGCTATCTGTGAGGCAGAGGTGATATTCCCTTTTTCCTCCTGTGGAAAAATAGATCTGGAAAGTTATGTTAGTAACACCCTCAGTTCTCAGAGCTTAGTTTGTAATAGGGCACTATTTATGGGCTAAGCAACAGATTGGGGCCACATTTGCATAAGAAAGATCAATGGTGCTGTAAATTACATCTTGCTCTCTGCAATACCATAATTACACACTTTATGGTCTGTAAACATCATGTTTAAAGACAACTGAGCCCAAGCACATGCTAACCTATGTGTATCTTCACCTTATCCATGCAAGCAAAGCCTGTAACTGGTTGAGGGCACTGTGTAGCAACAGAGTTGGAGTAATTTTTAGACTTAGTACAACAGCATGAAAACTGGATTGCTGGTTTTTTTGCCAAATTCCACAGTAACCCTTATTGCTTTTAACAAATACACCTTTGACCTATTCAGTTGCACTGGCAGTAGCTATTTTGTGCTCCAGCCATGAGTTAGTGAATTATAAAAACTAGTTATCTTTAGGGTATTGGTGGCTTTTTTATTCTCAGGTACAACTATGAAAAACTTGCCTGCAGAGATGTATTTCACGTGTTTAAGTGACTAACAGTGTGCACATACACACGGGGAACACTGCCAGCACTCACAGTGACATGGCACTGGCTTCACATGACTTGTCTGGGAGGGGACAGGCACCTCCTGCTTGGAAACACCCCCGTTGTCCTTGCCTAAACCCTCATACAGTTTCGACAGCAGTAGTGAAAAGTGAGGAGTTGAACTCTGGGCTCTGAATAGACACAAAGGACCTCTCCTAGGCTACCATCAGCAGGAGGTGAGCAAAGAACAGGCAGCCAGAGTTCAAGGGTGTAGTCGCTTGAAAAGATATGGTGGAGACTTTGAGGAAGTCATTAAAAGGCAACGTGTCTGCGTGAAGTCCATTGTCAGCTTTTCTAGGAACGAAGGTTCCCCCTAAAACCGTTCAGTGCTTGGTAGGACATCAAACACCACATCTGGTCCTGTGTCTGTCCACACAGAGTGGCTGATATGCAGCTGTTCAGGTGACCAGGTAAGTGGTCCTGTGTCTTTTGTTCTGTATGTTCTATACTTTTGTGGATAGTCACAGCCTTTATTCTCCCAGGAGTGGTTTTGCCGTATAAAGGTTGATTTCAGTGAAGATCTACACCAGAAGTTTCAGGCTGGAAGGCACGAGGAATCCCCAGGAGCTGGGGTGTGCAGCCAGTCCATCACATCAGCTGGAGCTGCTCTGAGCTGCACCTGCCATGCAGGGCTGTGGCTGGTGACAGAAGGATGCAGTGCAGGGAAAGGGCACCTGTGCTGCCTCAGCTTGAGGCTGTCTGGGCACCAGAAATAAAAGAGAACAGCAGGCATGGGGCATAAATAATAATTCACATGTTCAAAAAATTGTAAAAAATACAGCAGGGGTTTTTTCAGATTATACTCAGATTGTACTGAACATTTTAAAACATGACTTATATAGGAAAAAGTCATATTAGGAAGATTCAGTGAAAACAAGATCTGTAACTTAATGAACAGTTGTTGGGCAAATGATATTGTACATGGAAATAATAATATAAAAAATGTATTAGAATTCTTGTTTGACTAGTGTATGTTTCCCCTTTAATGTCAAGAGACTGATTGGAAAAGCAATTATTTTTACTCTGGGCTTGAGAATTTGCTTTGGATCAAATTTTGTGTTAACTAATTCGAAATAACTGGAAAGGAACTTTTTTTTTTTAATCAGTACTAGTTCTAACTGATATTTGGAAATAGCTGCAGGCAGCTGAGAGCTTCAGTGGTTGATTTGGGGCTGTAAAATATGCCAACATGAGAGCAGTGCCAAGCAGCTGAATGGCTTTTTTGTTTGCTGAAACAGCCATGGTTACATGAATGGTTTTTTAATGTATTTGGTGTATTCTGAATCAGGAGAAACATTACACAATAAAAAGAGAGTAGGTAATGAGATGTTGGGGAAAACCTACTCTATCCAAATTTTTCTGGGTTTAATGTAAATAATGTAAAATTTTATCCTGAAAAGCGGCTTAGTAAAGGCAGTGCTCTGAAACAGAGACTAAGCAGAGGTGGCAGCTCTGCTTTGAACTGGAAATCTTTGTCCAAGCCAGCCTTTTGTCATAAATGGATTATTTTAAAAAGAGTACTAGAAATGTGACTGTAATTTTAACTCTTTCCTAAATGCACAGAATATGTGACTCAATCAAGTAATAGCTCCTTCTCTTTCTAAAAACTCAAAGCAGAGTCACGTTTTTCTACAGTGCTCTGCTCTGGAGCTCTTCATATGCAAGCGTTCAGCAGGTTTGAGTGAGCACTGCTGGATGGAGGAACCTCTGGAGCATCAGCCTTCCAGCTCACTGAGGTTCCCCTTTCACATCTGCCTCTCCTAATCTAATGTTGTCTGCTACCAAATCATCAGAGCAGAATAATCTCTTTAACCACAGAAAACTATGGCCAGCACTATTTACTTTACTCTCCTAGCAGAATAATTGGATATTGCTCTTTTCAGCTTCCTACTGAGTGGTTGTAAAGATAGGGATGTGCACAACCTGAGAGCAAATAATATGAGTTATAACCAAAAAAATTTCAAGTGGGAAAAAATTACAGTGAAGGTTGTCAAATACTGAAATTGATTTCCCAGAGAAGCTGTGAAATCTCCCTCTGTGCAGACACTGAACTGTTCAAGGCTCTGAACAACCTGTTAAGAAAGTTGGAATGGAGCAAAGCCTCAAAGGAATGGATTATTCAAGCCTGACATATTTCAAGCTTTAATAGTGTTTTCCTGGAGGCAATGGGCACACCTGGCCTGAGAGGACCTGTGTGACAAGATGGGCACGTAGTGGGTGTTACGTAACAGACGTGATTAGAAGGTCTTTTAAAAATTAAGATAAGATCCATTTAAATTTGGCCTGTGGCATGTTATTTGTGCTGTTCTCTTCAGGGTAGCAGGTTATTTTTGGTTGTTTCTTATGGATATTCTTCATCAGATATATTAGAGTTCAGTTGTATTTTATCAATAAAGATGTGGTTGGCAAACAATACATGAGAGGAAAACAAAATCCCACAGAGTGGCTGTGGTAGCTCACGAGGTGCAGTAGTGAGGAGTGCTGTGTCTGAGGAAGGACTAGAAGCCCGGGAACACTGCAGGTTCCCCAACACATTCTCATTTTAAGCACCTTAGGCCACCTCTCACACTGCCTGTTTTGGCGAAGGGAGACAAAGTGAACTTGGATTTGGTTTCTTTTTTAAGACTACTACCAAAACTTAGCATTTCCCATAGGAGTATATCCAACCCTAGTGTTGAAATACAGGGTTGGGAGTTGGTCTCAGGGTTTCAAGTTTCAAATTTCTTTTTGCCTTGTTTTTCTTTTTTCCTTCTCAGAACTTTGTAACATCAGCTTCTTCCACTAAAGTGTGTGGTGTGGTGTGGTGTGGTGGGCTGGCCTTGCTCTTTTGTGTCTGTGAGGAAGAAGGAAGAAGGTATTTAATTTTTCTGTCTCATGCCCTTTGACCTGCATATTAATATGTAATGTTTGTAAATAAAGAGAGTTGTATTTGTAAGAACATACCCAGAAGGCTATAATTTCAAATCTAAACCTCCTGACTAATACAGGATTTCTTTTTGACAGTTTATTCCTCCTTTCTGAAACGCTGCAAGAAGAGTCCTCCCAAGAGGTTTCCCTCCATCATCAAGGTAATAGAATATCATCTTCCTAATGAGTAATTTTCCAACTGTTTGTACCCTAGACAGGGACCTTTGAACCTTCTCTGTGCTTGCCTTTGTACTTTAGGTAACAGTTTGCCTGTGCTTGAATATTCTGCTGAGTAGGGAAAGCAAAATGGATTAAATTCTGCAATCCTCAGTAATCTGGCTGTCATATTATTAGAAGTTGTGTGTTTGTTCTTAAAGACCATGTGAAACCAAGAAAACATTAAGGAATGTTTTGTTAACTTTTGCTAATTATATTTGATGATAAGACTGCAGAAATACAAAAACAGCTCAGCTATGCAATAATCCCTTGGACAGCCAGAACATGGCCTGAAGCCCCAGCAGCTACTCAAACCTTGGGTTTGATTTATATTTTAAATTTCTTTTAACAAAACCATCAACAAATGTTCAAACCAGAGCCAAATGCTGGGAGATTCATTATGAGATGGCCACATGCCCATTTAGGACTTTAACCCTCTAAGTGTCCATAGCAGGACTTGAAGCAAAGATGATTTTCTTACTTACTGTGTTCTTAAGCTGTAACTCAAGAGTCTGAGCGAAGGCTGTGGGGCTCTATTGTGTTAATTCTCTGTGGCACAAATTTATTTTGTTTTCATCCCTGTTTTATTGCATGTTGTCATTATGGAAGAACATATGTCCCACATTATCATTTCCTTACAGCCTGGGGAGGGCTGGAGTGCTGCAGTGTATTCCTGGGCCATATCAAGGGAGAAAGTTTTACCACAACACCAGTGACACAATCAAAAGCTTTGGTTTTGGCTGTTCTCCCATTTTTCTTTGTTATCCTTGCATCCCTATTAATCTTTTGGGACACTACTAACTCCTCAGGAAATAAGGGCATTTTTCTTCTCAAGAACTCAGCTTTGCTCCATGGCCCACACATGAAGGATGGAGCAGAACAGAGTAAATATTGGAAGCACAGAGTAAATATTTTACACTTTTATCACTGAACTGCAAGTGGATGGGATTTGCTGTTGTCAGTATCATATTCTGTCACTCTCCAGCTGGACAAGGTTCGCTTACTTAGATCACCTTTTATTTCAGATGGAAACAGACTCTGGATATTCCTCCACTGCTGAGCTGCAGAAGCAGGTAAAGACTCAAGCTCATCGTTTAAAGGAAACGTCATGCAGGTGCTTTGGAAGGCTGAATGTGTTGAATCACCTTCTAAGAGAAGTGACAGATACATCCTCATTCCGAACATTTTAGAATAATTAGGAGCTCATCTCTTATCACTAAAGCAGCACTTCCCCAGCATTTTTCCCTTCCAGTGGACTGCAGCTACAGCAGCAAGCAGTGGGGAAGGACCTGTTATCTTTGCTTGCCTGGCAAGAACCCACCACAGTTCCCCATAACCAGAAGCTGTGCCACCTCACTAGGCCTCACAGGGCCTGGTCCTGCTAAACTCTTGTTGCCAGCTGATGTGTCCCACTCTCTTTACCTTGCCAGCAGCAACCCTGTTCTGCACTTAAGGAACTTGCCAACTTCTACAAGCACTTTAAGAGCAAGATTTCAAGCAATGCATGCATTAGTTTGGAAACTACTGTGCTGTAGCTGTTGGCATGAGGAGAAACAGGGTATTAAGCACTTGGACTTGATGAACAAGATTTTTTTCTATATAAACTTCTCTACTTCTACATCTCATGTAATTATATTGTGTGGGTTTCATGTAATCACTTCATCACATGCAATAAAAACACAGCCTCAAAACAAGACAGTTTCTAGCCAAAGGGCTGTTAAAACAGCTGAAGTGCTGAACTTTAGCTCCTCTCTGTCCTGTCTCAAAGCAGGACATGGACAGCGTCTGTGAGTTTTGGGAGTTACTAAGGTTTGAAACTCTTGAGCTGAAGAATGTTTAAGCAACTGAAACCTTATTTGAGCTAACTGGAAATTCTGACACTTGTAAGCCAAAATTTTTGTTTGGTATGCTCTTCATCCCAGGAGAAAAAGGATTTATAGGATGTGTGTTAAAAGGCTCAAAGCTTTCTATAGCTTCTGTAACCTTTTTTTCCTAAAGAATATGTAAGCAATGGTCCAGGTTCTAAAGATTGAGAAAGTCTTACATCAGCATACATGGGGGATAACATGGATGCAGCTGGAAGTATGGAACTGCTAAGAGAGCAAATCTCTGGTCTAGAATCCATCAGGCACTATCTGATGCTGGAGGAGAGGCTTTTGCCAGCCTGGCATTTTTACTTCAGTACCCCCAGTGATAAGAGTGTCAGTTGATTGCACTGCTCTCATATAAATCCTAGGGTTCATAAATATCAAACTGTAGGGCAAGAGTCCTGCTAGTTTCTTCCTCCCTATCTGCTTTTTCGATTAAAAAAAAGGAGGTGATGGGGGAAATGTTTGTTTTAATAGTGAATGTTTCAGTGCTAATGAGCAAAGTTCTGTCCTGGGACAAATAAATATTGCTTATGAGTCCTGGGCCACATTTAATGTTCTGTAGCTGCTACAGAATCTAAAAGCCATGTAAAGAGGATTCCTTTATATTGCATTACCCTAAACCATCTGCATTTGGCATTTCTCAGAGCTGCCTCTCTTGTTTGTCCTCTCTGACAGGAGGTGAGCAGGACAGCAGCTATGAATCACACTGTTTTCACTCCAGTCTGTTTGTGCAGCACACCATAGTTAAAAAACAGGAAGGGCAGAGGAATGAAGAAGGCAATAGCTGAATATTATACTATTGCATTGATTTTTAAAAAAAAATTTACATTGCAGATAGATATAATTCATATTCATTCACAAAAACCAAATTAATTGCACTCCAGAACCAATTCTAACTTGGACTACTCTAAAAGACAGATCGTTAATTATAAATCTCTTGTATATTTGCTAAGCAACTTTGTTTTGAATATTTAAATATTCAAATATATTGAATACTGCTTTTTGAATATATTTATTCCTGTTAACCAGGTCATCTGAGAACAGCAGTTCTTCACTGCTGCGGGGAGAAAACATTGTATCCTGGGTGGGAGAAAATACTGAGGGAGGGAAGTGCTGAGATGGAGCACCATTCCTTCTTGCCCGGTATTCTTTTCCCACTGCTCTGAGTTATCCAGAAACCCCTGGAGTTACAGCCCTCCAGGTACTGAGCAGCATGCCAAATAAAAACAAAGAGGGACAATATCAGTGGTCCTTTCTCTCCTTTTGGTTATTCCAGAGAAATTCCACATCAGTCATGCAGGTCTCTGAAAGCATGACAGATGGATGATTACACACAATATCCCCCAACAGCTTTGTTATTGTGTTCTTCAGAGTGTGTGTGAAGCAAAACAGGCCATCACAGGAGTGCCTTCATCATTTCAAATACCAAAAATGCCAGGGCAGGATACAGCAGCACGTGCTTACTCTTATTGCTTCCCACAGGGAAAGAAGCTCTCACATGCCTTGAGGATCAGTGCCTACGTCTTCAGTACAGGCCTGCTCATGTTCACTGCCTTAGTGAACTCTGTTTCTTGGTAAGAATGTTCAAACAAAGCAGCTTGAGGAGAAACTTTTCTGTGGAAAGAGGGAAAAGTGGATGAATAGATGGGCAACCAAGCACTGTTATTCCCACAGGTTTACGCAGAATATAACTTTAGGCAATTTCTGGCAAACAACATGGTTGGAATTCTACGACCATATGGAGGGAGATGAGTGGACAATCTTCCTCATTGGTGAGTTTTAACAATGCTTCTCAGGAGAAATCATCCATGTATTATTACATATAAAAGGGAGACATGGACAAGCTTCCCAAACTCACTGACAAGCACTGGCTTGGAAGGTACCCACAGCTGATGTTCTGCTTTTGGATGGGGTCGCTATCAGAACCCTGTACAGATTAAAAATCTGATCTTTTTGCTGCTACTTAAGTGGCTTCCCTGTGAAGATACTTTGCTCATGTGAGAATTTAATGACTCAGTAGAACTAATTACTAAAAATGTAAGTAAATGTAGTGAATTCTACTCTTGCTGTAGTACTTACAAAAGTCTTTTCTGTGATTAGCAGCTGGTGAACAGAACTGGTAGGGACCCTGCAAGGTTCTAGAGATCAACTCAATCTTATCATGCTTGGATTTAAAAGCAACAGAGACTTCCCAGCCACCTAGAAAAGCATTTTCTTAGCTTCAGTTATACCAGGTTTCAACTTCTGAAACATTGTCTGCTCTAACCTCCTTCCCATTTTTTAATCTTACCTGGATGTCAGAACTTAACCCGTATTCCATTTTAAAGCATTTTGGGGCTGGGGACACACACTTGGCACATCTGGGTCCCAGCAAGGTCCTTTGGGTACTATGCCAGTGTATTTTGTTTCTGATTTAGCTGTAGTTCCCAATTCATTCAAACATCTCTGCCCTTTCCTCATGCCACAGGGGCTGCATTGGTGCCTGCACTTGCTTTCTGGGGCTTCAATGGAATCCTTCTGGTGGCTGATATAACAGGAAAGCCAACTTTCATAACTCGCTATCGCATTCAGCTGGGCAAGAATGATCCTGTAAGTACTTCTCACTCTGCCTTTTCTGCTGGCTAAGCACCTCCTGCAGTCTCTTAGGCCAGGAATGGGGAGAAGAACCTGTTATGCTTTTCTCTTGCAACCAGCTAGGATTCCTGGAGGATCAAGCCAAGTCTCGTACACCCACTGCAGGGAGGAAGGCAGATCCTGTTATGAGGCTACTGATTAGATCTGCACTGACTGCTTGTTAAAGAGCTGATCCCAAAACTAACTGCCTAAAAATCTTAAAGCTTTTCATCCTTCCAACTAAAACTGCATTGCTTCTTTCTTAGCCTCAAGTCCTGACTTCTCTTTTGCAGGTGGACACAAAGAAACTGTGGAAAGCCATCTACACAGTGCTGGGTAATCAGTTCTTTATCTCCTTTCCCATGCTTGTGCCCATGTTCTACGTCATGAAATGGTGGGACAGCACCTTCAGCAAGGAATTACCAACCTTCCAGTGGTTTCTTGTGGAGCTAAGCATTTTTACTGTAGTAGAGGAAATTCTCTTCTATTATTCACACAGGTGAGCTGGACACAGGAGCAGGACTCTTGATTTTCCTCCATGCCTTTAAGCTTATACCCTACAACAGCAATAATCCTTATCCCTCTGTTCCACCAATCTTTTATTTACATGGGAAATCTTACAGGTCCTGAAATCCACCCTCACAACATGAGGCCTTGGTGCTGCCAGTAACTAGTAAACAAAAATGGGTAGCATTTTAAAGGTGGAACAGCTTAAAAGCTAAGTAAGAAACAAAATAGGCAGTTTTACCCAGAAGCTGTAACCCAGCATTCTTTGAAAAGAACAAGCCTGACTATCCCGAAACAAAAATCTCAAGGGTCAGTGACTGATCTCTGTTCCTTGTACAGCACCTATAAATCAGGGCCTGACTCCCAACACTGCAGGATTTCCAAGCACTGACACCAACATTAGAGGACAGAACTAAAGCAAGAAAGACAAAAGAAGCAGAAGCAAGCACAGTACTCTCAGAAATCTTTAGGTTTCCCTTAAGGACAAATGCACCCAAAAAATGTAAATGCTGTTTTTTACGAAGGAGCCATGGAACTGAAAATTTTGATTCTTTGACAGTTGACAGTAGAAAAAGTTAGAACAGTGAAAACATAAAGTGAGTCTTCCCCTAAGTAGTATTCCCAGATTTGAGTAAATAAGTAATTCAGGGAGTTTGATTTATGGGATTTATCTGGACCGAGTTTAATATCAGCCAGCAGACACATAAATGGAATAAGGGCTCAATACAAAGAGAGCAAAGGAAGCAAAGAGTCCTACAGTCTTATTGCCACCTGCTCTGAAATCTTTATGTTAGAGAAGACACAAGCAAGTCCCCTGCAGAAATTCTGTGTTCTGTTACTCCTTTTTTGCAGAGCTCAAAACCTGCCTTTCTCTGTTTACTGAACCTAGGCTTGTTCACCACCCAGTGCTGTATAAGCACATTCATAAGAAGCACCACGAGTGGACAGCCCCCATCGGTGTGGTCTCCATTTATGCTCACCCAATAGAACACATAGTAAGTGGATTATCCCATGGTCACCCTCCAGTTGCTGTGTGGAGTGTGATTTCCATGGGATGAGGTGGAATGGTAAGAGAAGAGGAGCAAATATGCTCTTAGAAGATTCTTCCTTAGGAAGAAGAAGCTGAGCTGCATTTCCAAGCTCAGCTCTAGGAGGGTTGCAGTAATTGTTTATATTGGACTGCAATCTGTGCTTTCAGAGCACAGATCCAAAGGCCTCCAGTAGATAAGAAACTGACTGGTCAGTGCTTCCCATGAGCCCCAAGAGGACTGGGAGCACTGACAGTGCTTTCAGCAGGAGATATGAAACACAGCCTGAGTGATTGTGTGGACTTGGAATCTGTCAGGATTTTTGTAGTGGTTGCTGGAATCAGTGTTTGCAAGGAGTGTATCCCAACACTCCTCCAGCTGAGACTTCTCAGGAAAACACATCCCACCTTCAAAAGATTCCACTTAAAAATTCTATCTTCTAGTCCTGGGCTGCAGTACCAGCTCTGAGAGTCTCCCCAGCTGACACTGGACAGCACAATGATTGAGGAGCCCCGCTGAGCTGTGCTGGTGCACACAGCTGGGTCAGGGCAGCCAGAGCCATTTGTGCCACGGGCAGGACACAGCCAAGTGAGGCAGCAGGGTTTGTCACGTTGCTGTGTGTGTCTGCAGGCCATGTCCTTTCACTGTGAGGTTTCCTAAGAGCAGCTTCAGCATTATTCCAAGGTGAAGCTGAAATTCACACCTCAGACTCCAGGGTGATTTACTGGAATCCTGCTGTCCTCACCCACAGTTTGGTGTCATGCCTAAATTCTACTGCACACTTAGGGAGCTTGAGCTATGACAATGGTTTGCAGTAGTAGAACTCTCTTATCTCTATTACTACTTTTTAGATGATTATATAACTTTAGTAAGGTGTTTGCAGAGGGATCTTCCCTTTATGCTGTTTGCACCAAACAAACCAGTGTTATGGATCACCAGGTGATCATTCAGCTCCTAGAGGAGAGTCTGCTTGTTGTGGACCCATTAATGAGGTCGTTTTTTCTCATTTCCAGATCTCCAACACTCTGCCTGTCATGACTGGCCCGATGATCATGGGATCTCATATTGTTTCAATCTCGGCATGGTTCTCCATTGCTCTTGTAACAACAAGCATTTCTCACTGTGGCTACCACCTGCCCCTCCTGCCATCTCCAGAGTTCCACGACTTCCACCACCTCAAGTATGTCTGGGCATTGCTCAGCTTCCCATTCTTCTGCCCCTCCTGCCTGTGCCCTGGCACCAGTGACAGGGAAAGCTCCTTTCTGAGGATCAACGGGGTTTGCCTAACTCATGCAACCAGCAGAGCAGCTCTCCAGTTCACCTGAGAGCAAGCTGAGTGCTGCCAGTTCTTAGAGGAGTTAAACAGGGATTTCAAGGGATTCCAGCCCTGTTAAGGACAGTTCTCTGCAAGGTTCTTCCTAGAAGTTCAAAATACACTTCATGTGATCTAAAGACAGAGCAAGGGCAAGTCACACAGGTGAAATAAGTGAGCCTGCTTGTCTGTCCCTCTCCCATACACTGGGATTAGTAACACTGATCAGATTACACTTTGCCCAGACAATCACCATTAACCCTTCCTGACAGAGATTCTCAGCCTGCTGTGCTGGAGAGAGAGCAGTTGCAGCAGACTATTCAAGGATACATACCCGAGCAGTGGAGAAACACTTCCATCTCCCAGTGGGCACTACATTCATTCTCCCCAGAAATGTCTGCCCCTGCTGCACAACCAGCCCAGGGGACAGTTCAGTCACCACATGCCAGGACACGGATCACTGCGGAGCCGAGACACTCTGGGGGGAACAGCTGTGCCAGCTGGAGTCACATCTGCTCCGTATCCCAGGACAGGCAGGTCTTGAGAGCAAATGGAGCATGGTAGCCTGGATGTCCAGTGCTCCCACAGCTCTGAGCTGCCCAGGACAAACAGCTGCTGCTCAGCGCCACCCTTTATGGGCAATGACGGCACCATAGAGAAGCTGCACAAGATTCACTCAAGGCTTCGACAGAGCTGCCAGGGAGACTGGTGCAGGAACAGAAATCCCATGGAGAGATTATCAGGGCTCAGAAAGGAATGGAAAGAGGAAGGGCAATGTAACCTCAGTGACTTCCAGTGATGTTTATCTCTGTTTGGTTCTCAGGTTCAACCAGTGCTACGGAGTGCTGGGAGTGCTGGATTTTCTGCATGGCACGGACAAAATGTTCAGACAAACCAAAGCCTTCGAGAGACACAAGGTCCTGTTCGGCCTCACACCACTCTCTGAAAGCATCCCTGATCCACCCAAGAAAGATGAGTGAACCAGCCCAGCAGCTCTTGCCCAGCAGAGTGAGAGACAATGATTTATGCCAAATAGTATTTTAATCAGGAAACAAGTTCTTGTCCACACATAACAAAACATGAAGTTGAATATGCTGCTTGAAACGACTGCACTTTTGCTGCCATTGTTTTCTATCTAAAACACTCGCAAAAAAAAACATGCTCTAGAAATCTATTTTTAAAAGTTAATGGTTTGTTTCTCTGTTACTTGCATTGTCCCTTGGTTCCAGCTGCCTGTGTGAGCCAGGTGTGTTCTGGGCCACATGGCTCAGGCTTATCATTATTAAGACTCCAGAGGTGATGATTTGGCCTCTCTTGTTGGCACTCATTCTAGAGAAACATCAAAATCACTCCATCTATGTGTGATGCAATTAAAACCAGTTTTTACGACTCTGGGCACCTGGGACATAGGACTACAACCCCGTGGAAAATCACTGGGGCCACAGCTTTAGAAACACTTGCCTGCACATGCAACGGGGGCCTGACTTCCTGTGAGCAGCTGTTAGGCATGGGAGGTGAGTACAGGGCTGAACTGGGGCTGCCACAGCCTCATCGCTGCTCTAGAGAGCTGCAGACAAAGGGAGTTTCCCCTCCTGGGACACGGAAACAGAGCTGGGAGCTCATGTGCTTCATGGCATCACCACCTCCTGCTGAGCCTCCCCTCCCCCCGAGATACAACCAAAATTCTGATAAATTACAGAGATTTTCCATGGAAAGCAGAGTCTCTGCTGTCCTGAGCTGTGTGGACATTAAGGAACCCCTCTTAGGAAAGATACAAGAAAGCAACCCCCAGAATAATACGCACATTGCCAAGTACCCACAGAGACATAGTGTGAATTCTCTCAAAGATCTTCCTAAGTCTCAGTCCTGCCTGGAGGCTGGAACAAAACCACCACATTTCTCCCCAGTACTAGAGCAGCCCCTCGAGGAACAGACACACAGGCCTGACCTGTGCTGCACTGTCCATTTGTCAGCCCAGCTCTACCTGTGGAACCAAAGTCACTTCCCCTGCTCCTCTCTGGTTCCCACACCTGCATCAGGATGAACCCAGCCCAGTCACCCATCTGCAGTTCCCTGGGGAGGGCAAGTCAGCAGAACAGAAAACCCAGGCACCACTGTCTTTTGAACTTTTTATTTTTATACATTTTTTTTGTATTAAAAAGGAAAAAGCATAATTACCACAAATTACAAAGGACTAAAGCATTACTAGAATAATGAATCACATCAGCCTAGAAAGCAGATACTCTGAATAATATTAATGTTATAATACAAGCTCTCATTCAAGTATTTTACATTTTTCTCTTTTCCTTTTTATACGTGATGATGATCCTAGCACATGGGTCAAAGATTATGTACTATCGACAGAGATGGATCATGTACAGCGGGCCGTATTAACAAGATTTTCCTCCCAAGTGATACATGGTCTGTGATGAGTCATTTTGTCTCTACTATAAATGCAGCTGAAGAAGGTTGCACACACTCTCTAGTTTTGGGAAACAGAAGGCTGAGGTTGGACACACAGGGTTTGAGAAGGGCCAACACATCAAACCATCACCCCTTTAGCTCCAGGCGAGCAAGCAGAAGGCTGCACTCGCTGGGCTGCAGCTCAGTGGGTGCCTCTGAGCCACAGATCCAAAGGTTTTCAGCCCCAGTGGGACCAGGACAGGCTGGGAGGGAAGATGGGGAGCAGGGCTGCACCAGGGAGGCCTGAGGAACCAAGCATCCCCTCCCATGAGGGGCATCACTGGCACAAGCCACTGTGGTGCAGAGCTGACACCTGGGGAGAGAGCAGGACAGCGCGGGGAACTGGAGGAACTCCAGCACGCTCCACAGGGGCCAGCTGGCACCCAGGGCACTCCCTGCTCCTCTGGAGCTTCCCACCAAGGGGATGTGCTCGTCACAGATACATCGGTCCTATGTTCAAGTGTCTGCAGAAAGTGAAACTGTAAACTACTCCTGGAAATGCTGCCCTCCAGCCACCCGCTCCACGCCACCGAGATGAACAATTGCTTAGGGAAAAAAAAAAATCATTTATCTGTTACCTGTATTGGAAACTTTCAAAAAAGTGAGGCATTTAACATCAAGTGTAGCAACCCTCTCAAGAAGAGCCCAGCATCCATTTCAAACAGTGACAAGTGACAGAACCAGCCTCAGAGGAGACAGGAGACAATAAGCATTGCAAACACAGCTTGCTACATTTACAGTTTTCCTTTTTTTTTTTTTTTTTCTTTTTGATAAAGTAACTGGAAAGGCATTAACAGCTAGAAGGCCCCCTCTGCACTGCCATGTGGAACGTGGCAGGACACTGAGGTTAAACACATCAGTTTGTTACAGTACAACGACCAGTCCCGAGCAGGTGCCGAAACTCGAGGGACCCCAAGGGCTACAGTGAAAAGGCGCCATCAGGGGAGCCGGGGGGCAGCAGAAGAGATGGACAGGCAAAAACAGAGCAGCAGCATCAGTACTTTTTAAATCTTTTTTTTCCCCCCAAATAAGCATGGCAAAGCAACAAAGCCTCCTCAAAAACACACCTTCCACCTCCACTCTGACCCCACACCACAGCTCTGTACCTGTTGCAGCCACCTGCATTCTAAAGTCAAGTTCACCTTGGCAAGGAGCCCTAAGCTCCAGCATCCTGGAGGACCTCCTGAGAAGGGGGGGCAGGATGAGGAATGCTCCCCTGACAGCCTCCCTCAGCCTTTCCAGAAGCAGCTGGGGCTCCCCCCAGGCTCTGCCAGTGGCTGGACACCAGCACCACGCAGCCCTCGCGGGCTGTGGGACGATGAGTGCTCACAGGAGCACGTGTGCAACCACTCAGTCCTCTGAAATTCAAAAAAACACAACACATGGTGGAGGTGAAGCATCCAAACTACAAGCAAGGCCTAACTCCCTCCTCTGCAGAAGGGCAAGAGCTTCCTCAAATGCAACCCCCCCGGACAGCTGTCCCTTTAGCCAGTGAGGCCACGAGCCTTTCTGCGGCCACTCCTGACCCAGCCGGGCACAGACCATGTACCCGGGGAGCTCCCTGCCCTCTGCCAGCACCTGCCCCAGCACGGAGCAGGAGGGAACGGTTCTGTGTTCCCTTCCCTGCAGGAGACAGGTGAGAGCGAGCTGAGGACAGGTGAGCAGCTGCCTCAGGCTGTCACATCCATCTTTGCTCTGTCCTGCCCACTGCTGTCCCACAGACAGCAAAACAAGGCACACGGTCCACAGGCCCAGAGGGCATTGGGACCACTAGGATTGCTCTTCTGACCCACCTTCCCCTGGGTGCACACACTAATGTGACAAACCACTGACCTGGCAGAGAGGGAAGGGAAAACACTTCCATGCCAAGACTAGAACCTCAGGATCAGAAATTAAAAATTATTTAAAATCAGTATTTTGGGAAATTCTCTGGGAAATGTCCTACCTCTTCTACAACCCAAGCAATTCCACAGTCTGCTCTACAAGCAACAACTCCATAGCAGCAGTTCATCCCTCCCCATTTCCTATGAATTTGTTGCTGAAACAGACAATTGGCTTCAAGAGAGAACACGCCAATGAAAGGAGCACAGACACAGCAGCAAGGATCACCTGTGGCACATCCAGACCTGCCTCCACTTGCAAACAACCAGCAATACATCTACAATGTCCTCGATTGACTCTCCAGCCTCCTCCTTCCCACATCAGGGACAAACCTGCCTATATATGTAACCTCAGAGATCTGACTCCAGCTCACAAGAGGGGAAATCCAGAGATAACAGTCACGGCCACAGCACTGTACAAGTGTTACTTTTGCCCATCTTGCCCAGTTCCCACCCCATAACCCCAGAGCACTGCTGCCATAACGGAGATCCATGGCCTTGGGTGGGCTCGCCTGCTGCAATCAGGTGTGAGCGGTACCAGCTGCAGGGTGACATGGCAGGGGGGACCAGGGCAGGGTCACACCACCAGCAAACAGCCAAGCAGCAGCTCCCCAGCCTCTCAAACCCAGCTGTGCTTTCGATTCTAGCAGCAGTTCGTGAAGCCACTCCACTCAGACCAGCCCACCTGCCCCACCAAGGCAGCATCCTGGAGGCAGTGTCAGCTTGGGAAGGGATGGCCCCAGCCAGGGCCCCACAAGCACCCACGGCCACTTGCTGATGGACAGCTTGGCTGTGCTTCCCCTCTTGCTCTCAGTTCCTGGCTGCTCTCACCCACCCACCCCGCAGCCACACAGGGACAGCCCTGGAGAGATAATGACTCCTTCCAGCTGTGAGATACAGCTCTGCATCAACTGGATCCCTTAGGAAAACACTGTTCAGTACCAACTTGTGCCTCTGCAGAGAGAGCAAGAGGAGCTGCACCTTTGGAGTGGTGCAGCACATGCCCACTCCACACTGCACACAGGAGCCCCAGAGCCACAGCCAAGCCTGGTACCCCAGGGACCCAGCAGAAGGAGCATGGTGGCAGCAAGGCAAGCGGATCTGGCTGGAAAGGAGCACGACTTTCCAGTGCTACCTCTGGAGCATCTCCACAGGTAGCACTGGACATCTCAGATCTCCCACCTGACAAATGCCCCTCGCAAAGCATCCAGCTCACAGCCTGGGGAGGATTTGCCTGCCAAAGTCCACCTGGTGCTGGGTGTAAGGATCAATCAAGTAAATGTCACAGCAGCTCTGCAGTCAGCCCCTGCCTCAGCCGAGTAAGGAGCTACATGGCGTCATCTCAGCCCTTGGAAATGCCCAGGGACTATGCCCTGAGTGGGAGACTCCATGCAGCCGCCTGCCACAACACAACACACAGGGAAACCCAGGTGAGAACGCTCCTGTGCCAGGCAGGTACGAGTCCCAGTGACTGCTGTGGGACAGCTTTCCCAGCTTTGCCTCACTCTGTCAGGCTACAGCAGAAGCAGCACTCCGTCACAGCCAGGACCAGGCCCCCAGCTGCTGTGACCATCTCCCTGCTCACTCCCCAGCCACGCTGGAAGCACAGACAGGAGCAGAGCCAGCTCCTGCCCAGAGAGGGCCGGGGGTGTGAGCAAGGCCATGACAGGAACAGTCACTGTCCTGGGGACAAGGCTGCCATGGTACCAACTACTGCCTGAGCACGAGTCTTGGATGTGACTGCCCTCAGCACCTGCCCCAGGAGACTCAGGCCTGGCAGGGAGGCTCCGTGACAAGGGGGGCATCCGAGTGAGCTGTGGGGTCAGAGGAAAGGCCGCAGGGAAGATCAGCTCGGCAGCAATGCCGTGAGGAGTCTCTGGGCCTGGGGGGAGCCAAGAGCCCAGTGCACCCCAGGGTGCAGGAAGCCAACAAGCCTCCTCGCTCCAGCTCCACCATAAGGCAACTTTTTTTTGTGTGTTTTTGGGGTTTTTTGTTTTTTTTTCTTTTTCTTCAATAATATTTCCAAGGAAGAAAGCAAAGGGAGATGTGTCTTTTTAAAGAGTTTTTCTGTTGTTGTTTTAGAGGAGTTTGTGGTGCTGTTTTTTTTTTTTTTTTTTTTATGTCATTTTTTTCAAGGGAAAAGGAAGAGAAAAGCTCCTTCAGCAAAGTCATTTCTTTGCAAGTGATGGGTGTTCCTGGGGCAGCAGGTGCACCGTCCACGCAGGCTCGAGTCCAGGTGCTTGCCAGCCTCCCAACCAGCCATCCTCACAGGAAGGAGTCACAACAAGCCTATCCTTGGCAAAGGTCCTTTGGTTGACTTCCAAATTGTCCGTGACGGAAGGGAGAGGTGGACAGAGGGAGAGCCAGACCCTCGGGAAGGTGAAGACGTCGGGGAGAAGGGAGCGGGAGAACGAGCAGGGCGATGCTCCTGTCGCGGAGTCGGCGTTGGAGAGGGAGGCAGCGCCGGACGTGGAATGGGAGACGCCAGCCGGGTCATGGAGATCAGAGGCTCCGCAGCATCGGCACACGCTGTGGCTTCGGTCCCCCACTGGGGAACCTCGCTCCTCCGAGCTTCCTGAGCGGCTGCCCCGCCATCCGAGGGGGACACACAGGGGACTCGTTGGGGCCACACAGAGCAGACTTGTTTTGGTAAATCCAGACGAACTTCTAGCAATAATTTAAAACTTGATATATATATATAATAATAAAAAAATCTCCCCTTTCCAACCCAGCCAGAACACATTTTTTTTTTGAAGAGACACTAAGACATGAGTGTGTGCACAGGAGGAGAGGGAAGGGAAAGGGTAGGTCTGCTGGGAGCGGGTCTGGCTCTGGTCAGGGTAGTAATAGCAAAATGGTGTTTTGGATGCAGATCGTCTTTACTTTCCAGCCACAAGAGAAGAAAATCGTGTGCGTTGAAGTTTCTCCCAAGCAGCCTATTCCTGGGAACCCACCTTCCAGCTCCCTTCCTGTCCCATCTCCTCATGTCTGCCCTTCTCCGAGCCATTCCCCACCAACCCACCCCACCCCCCAGCAGGAAGCGGACGCTGCAGCCTTTCTACTTCCCCACTGTCTGCGACTCTGCAGCTGATGGGGCAGGGGATTGCTGGCTCAGGTTTTTGGCATCCTCTTGTGCAGGCTGGCTGGCTGAGGCATGGGCTTGGCTGGATGGGCACTGGCTGACCGTTTTGCTGGAAGACTGGGATGGGTAGCGCTTCCTGCCATCGCCCCCTGACGTCGTAGGGTATCTCTTGTGTCCACCTTCCTCCCCCATGGGTGGCTGCAAGAGAAGGACCCCAGTATCAGCACAGCCTCCTCCAGATGTAGGTGCCCTCCCCTGGGATCAGGAAACAGCCCTCCTGCAAGCCTCCAATTGCAACTTCTCTCCCTGGCCCACAAGGAACACGCACATTCACGCCAAGCACTCAGCTTCCCTGTCCAAATTTCCTGCTGCCAGATTTGACAGAAAAACTGACCACAACGGTGACAACTTGCTCTTAGTCACCTGCTTCCCACACAGAGGCACAGCCAAGAAGTTTGGGAGCCAAAGCTCCACACAATGCTGGCTCTACTCCAACCATCAATGCACCCTTTCCTCCTCCTTCCTCACCTCATCAGGGAGGACAGGCTCACCCAGCTCCCTTACCCCACACGGAGCAGGTTTGCCATATTCCAATCCCACACTTTGTTCCTGGCCCGGCTGCAATGACTTGGAGTGACAGTAGGTGTCACTGCCCCCCTCCTGCCACCACCTAGGGACCCCCAAAATCCTCCATGCTCAGAGGGCTGTTTACAGGGGCCATTAGTGTAGTGCAGGAATTGTATCTACTCACATCTACTCGGAAGTCCTCGAGGCGCTTGAACTTGCTGAGGTATTCTTGCAGTTTGCTGTTAATGTCCAGATTTTTGGCTTTGGAATATTTTAAGAAGGCCCAGAACTTTTCCAGCCCATAGAGCTGCCCTGGAAAGGGAAAAAAAACCCCAAAAACCAATCCAAACGTCAGCAGGACAAAAACCTAACAAGACACTTTTCCTCCAGGCTTCCCCACAAACCCTACTGTCCTGCTGGTGGGCACAGCCCAGGCAAGATGGAAAATCTGAAGAGAAGCAACCTACATCAGTTCTGGGAAGCCCCTTTGATTTGGGATGTCCCTAGGCTCAGCTGACTTGGTGGTGACAAGGTTCAGCCACTGCAGGGCCTTGAGAAATCCCACAGGAAACGGTGCCTCTACAGGAAAGCTTTGGGAGAGCTGCAGCCTCCCACTGCCCTCCTCCAACCCCCAGCAACCTTCGGGATGGTGACACTCAACCCTCTCCTGTGAAATGAGCAACGGGACATCCCAGCCCTCAATGTACAGCACTACGTGGCTTCCCCAAAATGGTGACAGGAGGCTCAGGAGCACCATGCAGCTGAGCTACGTCACTGCCAATCCCAGGGAAGCCAAAGGAGGCACCTACCAGCTTCATAATCCTTGATGGTCTCTTCTTGGAAGTCCTTAAATATGTCTGGCCGGAATTTCTTCTCCAGCCCGTAGCTGTAGTATCTGAAAAGGCACTCCAGACCGTACCTGGGAAGGGAGCAGCATGTGCAGCTCAGACACTGGTGCACACAACACAGAGCAGCAGCAGGAGACTGAGAACAACCCCAGACCCACCTCCAAGCAAGGCAGAAGCACTGCCTTAATTTACTGTGAGCTCTGTAAAAGGCCAAACCCTTAGACAAGGCCACTCTGTCACTTCTCTCTTACCTGTATCCCTCCTTCCCATCCTCCACAGCCAGTTGCTTGAATTCCTCATACATTTTCTTGTTGAAGTGATCTCGGAGGAAGAAGGACCAGAACCGGAAAAGCGTGTTCATCTCCTGGGACTGACCAATGCCCAGTCGTTTTCGCTCTGTTTGGGGACGAGGGGATGATTACAAAGCCAATCCTCTCCCAGCGAGTCAGGGGCTCGTGTGCAGGAGGGTCCTGTGATGATGCCCAGCCCCAGCACTGGACACCATGAGCACAGCCCATGCTCCCCACAAACCACGGGGACACAGCAGCTGCCAGCAGGGCTGTCCTGTAGGACCCTGCCTGTGTCCATCCCTGCCATGTTCCTGTCCCCAGCACGGCAGAGCACAGACACCCTGTCCCACCCCTCACAGTGCAGGCTCCCTACCGTTAAGGCAGCGCCGCCGGTACTTGTGGTAGACGTGTTGTGTGAAGCCGTTCTCCTTGAGCAGCTCGTGTGAGGGATGCTGGAACTTGGGCAGGGACTGCGGGGTGCAGCCATAGCTCCCAACAGCCGGGGTCCCCTCCGAGGGGCTGGAGCTGAGTGTGAGAGACTCCCGTCAGCACCCTTCCTTGGCATCACCCAGGAGAGGGGGTCACCTGCACCCCACTTGTCTGTTGGTCCCACCCATGCCCTGTGTCACTATCCTGGGTTTGGGACATGAGCCATGGAACAGCATACTAGGAAGGGGACATATGTTTCTAATCAAGTCTCATCTTGCTACTCTCCAAGGCTACAGATTTTCCCTAAGCCTTTCCAGGAAGAGCAGGTTTGATCCCTGTCCTTTCTGCAGTCACCTAACAGGAGACCTCCCGTGCAAGACCAGAGACTACTTTTCCCCTTCCTTCCACATTCCCTCCCTTTCCCATTTCTGCCTCCTCCACGATCCTGCAGGCCTGTCTCTGGTACCTGATGGAGGCAGTCCGGGGTCTGTGCTCCCTGGAGTCCATCACCCAGCCCACGTGGCACTCCATTGGAGGATTCGAACTGTGCCTCGTCTTCCTCTTGCGTGGAGTCTGCAAGACACGGTGCATCACGGATGTGTTCCCTCCTCCTCAGGCCCCAGCTGGGAGCCCCAGCTCCTGTGCCCCAGCCCAGCCTGCTCCCACCTTGGCATCTATCGTCCTGCCCTCCTTCACCACTGGGTAGAAGCGGGGCGTCTGTGTCGGGTCCTTGAGCTGAGGCGTGCGCGGGGTGCGGGGGGTCCTGGCGTTGCGGTAGTTGGGCGATTCTGGGACAGTCGTGGGCAAAGAGCGGGCGATGGTGGAAGGCTCAGGGACTCCGAAGAGCTTGTTGGCCAAAGCGTCTGTAGGTACTGCAGGGAGAAACCCCGCCCTGGGTCAGCCTGGGCTCTGGGCACTGAGCATCGCCACCGTTCATCAGATGGGGCAGGGACACATCCCAGCTCCCCCACACAAGCAGCCTGAAATCCAGTTTGGCCAGAAAGGCCAAATCCTACCACAAGGTATCTGTTTCCTAATGGTTAACAACAGCAACAAATCCCTGTCCCCAAGGACACAGCCCTGGTGTCAAACAGGCAAACAAGGTCCAGCAGGCAGCTGCATTCCAAGTACTCAGAGAGGGTCTAAGATGAAAGCCAAATCCCAGGAACTACATCTGAGTCTGCCACAGTTCCCTCACTCCACTGGGACACCCCTGCTTTTGGGCTCCTCTTGTAGAGCTCCACAGCCTTCAGCTGGAAGAGCATCACTAATCTGGGAAAGACGCCACTCAGAATATCCCTGTGAACTCTGTGAACTAGATAATCCACTACACCTGTGACCCCAGTTGGTTCTCCCCAGCTGCTACCCAGCCTCCAAGAACCTCTCAGCATGAGAAGCCTGGACAAATTTGGTCCCATCCATTCATACCCCATCTCTTACCTTGCTGGAACCTGGGGGGACCAGGAGGGACTTCCTGGTTTGGATCCACGGGGGGCTCTGGGGTCAGGGTGTCAAACTGCTCCCTGCTGATCATATTCACCTTCTTGAAGTTCTCCACCTCTTGCTGCATTGGAGGAGGAAGATGGTGAAGAAACCACTCACCCCATCACAACCATGGCTCTGCTTGAGCAACAGCCACAGCACTGGGCCCCGGGGGCAGTCACAGGGCCTGGGTGCCCAGAGGGCACAGGGGCAGGAAGGGGAGATGCAGCAGGCAGAAAACTGGGCACTGCACAGGCCACATCTGAGCCACTGACATTGGCAAGCTTTCAGGGATGCCACAAGGCAGCTTCACTAACCAGCACCTGCTTCTCTCAGGCTTTCACCATGGTCAGAGCCAGTGCACTAAAGCTCAAGATGAGCTCAGTGACCCATTCTTGGCCAGAACCCCCTCCACCATCTTATGTCTCTACAGCCCCCCTCCCCACATCCTCACAGCCACCTGGCAGCAGGGCACAATGCTCCCATGGATCTGAAGGACCACACCCCAACACATACTACTCCTGTCACCCTCAGCTTCTGTCACTTCAGAGAGCAGCACTACTTCAGCAAGGGGCCAGGTATCAAACTTTGGAGAACTGAGCCCAGCTGAGAGCTCCAATAAGTCATGCCACCTCACAGCTATGATTTCTGTCACTGAATGAGTCTAGGCAAGTCCCCAGAAATGAGAGTCACCGAGTTGGGACCCAAACATTTCAAAACAGCAGATGGGCTTTCTATAAAAAGCCCATGTCTATGCAAACTGACACCAAAACTGAGAAGAGCACAGGCTAAGTGCAGCCCAGCCACCCATGAACCCATTCCCAACACATGTAGTCTCCAACAGACTGTGCCACAAAGGACAGGGCACTAATGGCAGTGCAGAAACACCCAGTTCCCCTCACAGATCTGGCACTGCCAGCTGAGATCCTGGCAGACAGCAGAACAATGGGCCCCACGTTCCAGGTCACCTCACAACTGGCACTTTGTTTACCTGACTGTAGCCTCACCTCTAGTTACAGCACACAGGGTGTTTATCCCTGGTATGGCCAAACATGATGCTGGGAGCCAAGAATCCCAAACACTACAAGAGGACTAATCCCAGCTTAGCTCTACCCCCCTGCATTGCCCTTTTCACCCCAGCCCAGCAGCCACTGCTGCACACAAGGCTCCCCACAGCCCACACGGATCCCTCCCCATCCTCGGGTCAGCCACACTCACCTTGATCTGGGAATACTCTGGCTCAAACTGCTCTGTCCACAGGTCCTGCTCATAGTAGTACAGCCCATCATTGATCACCTTGGCCAGCTCTGAGCTCATCTTAGCCCTGGACGTGTGGTTGCCAGTCCGGTCCCCGCCGGGATGGCGGCGCAGGTACGGGGGGGTCTGAGTCACGATCAGGATCTTGTTGACGTCGCGGTCATCAATCTCGTAGTCAGAGTCTTCGTCTGACCAGTCAGTGAAGGTGTTCTTGCGGCCATCCATCTGCTCCATCTCCTCATCAAACAGGAAATCGAGCTCCTCAGGTTCATCTTGGTCCTTTTGCTTCTGCTGCTGCGGTGTCTTTGACTCCTCTGGTTTCTGCAGGTAGGGGGGCAAGGGCGGCACAGGGTAAAGACCACACAGTGACAAGACCCAGCTCTTGCCCCTTGTTTCATTACCCCAGCCCATCTGGGAAGAACTCTTCATTTACACCACTGTGGAACAGCTCCAAAGAGGCTCAGGTGTAAAGAGGAGAGAATGGGACTCCCAACAGACCCTGCTTGACTGAAGCCTGCCCACATATGATCCAAGTCACCCCAATCACTGGGAGACTCCCAGTGCAACAGCTCCTACATCACTTACCTTGGGCCTGGCTGGGGAAGGTCGGGGTCTCTTCTTCACTTCAATCCATGTCTCTGAATCCAGGTCTGGCAGACTTGTGGACAGGCCCTTGGGCATTGTCTTCAGGTTACTGACCTCCTCTGTTTTGGTGGGGACAGGGCTGGCAGCACGTGGGGAGCCTGGAGCGGACTCTGGAGCCAACAAGAGCCACAAAATGCTTTAGAGAGATGGAGGGAACCCAGGGGATGTAATTACCCAACCGTTCTGGCAGCATGGCACAGACATGGACTAACTGGCATACAGTGGCCAAGGTTTACCAGCACAGAGCCCACAAGTGCTAGAGTGGGAATCTCCAGTTAAGGTTACGATGCCAAGGGGTGGCCACAGAGCTTTGCAGGTGACAGCTTCCCAGACACACAAAGCCCTAAAGCAGGTGCTCTGCTGCTCTCTGGGAAACCTTCCCGAGAGTCTGGAGCCAGATCTTCTCCTGCCAAAACTCTTACGACAGCTCCAAGATCCTTCACATGGGCTCTCAGGCCCAGCTCTGTGCTCCTGCCAGCCCCTGTGGGATGGGGTGACAAGAGCATGAGAAGCCCATGAAGGACAGAAGACCTTTACAGCACTTGGTTGTCAGTTCCACACCTGATGCCCAATTTGTGCCCAATATCTCCTCAACCAGTAAAGGAAGGTTGGATTCACAAGTGTCCTCTGCTCTGCCCAGCAGCTGTACACTATTTCCATACAAGCCAAGAGAATTTCAGCAGGACTGACTTTCTCTGAATCCCTTCAGCCCTAGCAGAGGACAAGCCACACTCAGTCTATCACATTACCCCATGTCTGGAGACAGCACCATTCTGGGGGTCCAAGAAAAGACAGAGCCCACACCAGCTCCCACCACCAAGGAGAAAGCCAATGTCCTGGGAACACTCCTGACTGTCATGGTCTCAGTCGTGCTGTAGTGCCAGCACTGCATCCCACACCACCCTCCATATTCCCCCAGTGCTCACCAGTCTCTTTCTGGAAGCTCTGCCGGGGCACAAACTCGGGGCAATTGATGAACTGTGAGAAGTCTGTCTGTGTGTAGTCTGCCATAGGAGGGCCAGGCAGAGCCCATTTTTCTGGCTGCTCTTTTCTCCTGATTTTCTCATCCACAATTTCCACCACCTTGCTGTCTTTCAGAGCCTGGAACCAAGCAGCACTTGGTTAACTTAGGGGCTTGCTTTGGCATATTGAGGGGGTCAGCCCAAGCCATTCCTCCCTGGGAGGACTAATAGGAGGCAGGAGCAAGTCAAGGACAAGGAAAGGCTTCACTTGCACCTCATCCACAGTGAACAGGCATCACACAGAGGTGGTGAGAAGCAGAACAAGGAGGAAAGGTGACCTTTCCTTGCCCTCACCTTGATGATGAGGCTGATGTCAGTGGTCAGTGCCTGCACCCGGTGGAAGCTGGCGATCAGTGTGATGGGCAGGAAGCCGTCAGAGTCCATCTTGCGGCGCAGGAAGAAGTCTCGCTCCAGGTTGTCCACACTGAAGTAATATTCTCTGCAGGGACAACGTCTCAGTGAGAGGAAGCCCCAAACCACCATCCTCTGGGCACCCCCAAGGAAAATAACCCACACACACACAGAGGGGAGCAAGCCTGGGGAGCCCAGACATGGCTGGTGCAGGAAGCAAAGCACAGTCAACACCTCTGCTCTAACCCTTCCCATGGGATTGGCTGCACAGTCCCCACCACCCAACAAGGACAGGAGGTGGTGCTCACATCTGCCTCTTGATGTAGTCCTTGAGCAGCTCCTGGTCCACGCTGTAGAGCTCAGCACTGCTGATATTGTCGAAGTAGTAGGTGATGTTGCTGGCGTACTTCTGGGTGCGGGAGCCGTCCGAGCCCTCGAATTTCCGGTATCCGTACTGGTAGTCAAAGTGCCCTGGGGGACACCAGGAAGGGTCAGAACACAACCCCTGCGATCTGCCAAACGGGGCTGGACTCCTGCACAAATACTTCCCTCATCCTGAGGACCCCTTGGAAATCCACAGTGGAGCACCCACATCCCTCACCCTCCCACTCTCTGCCTCTGCCACAGAAGAGGCCAGGAACCCTCTTATCCAAGGGCAACTGGGCAGCCCAGCTGACACATGAAGGCTCTACACTGAAGCTGCATCAGTGTTAGCACAGACACTGCCCAGTCAAATGCCAGGCCAGATGCTCTTCCTCACCCAAGCCATGACTCCTGCTTGGCTCTCAAATGGCATAAAGCCTTCACAGACTATCAGCATGCTTCAATTCCTGCTCACAGAGGTATTGCAAGGGGCAGAAAACGTGAAAAAGACCTTGGCTTGAGTAGCAGGAAGACATGTGCTTTTATAAAATACTACTAAGAATTATTTGCTTTGTTAACACAGCTCAACTTACTGGCAGGAATGACCTGCCACAATACTTCCCTGTATCCCTGGAGCACTCTGCCCTTCCCAATCCACTTTAGAGCCCCAGGTCTCTCAGGCACACAAACACAGAGCTCTGCACGCTGTGTCACTCTCCCTGCAGTCACAAGAGCACACACACAACAATCACCTCCTCTGCCACGGCCCCGGCCCCTGCCCCGGCCGCGGCCCCGGCCCCGGAAGGTTCCTCGCACGGCCCCTCCCTCGCTCTTCACGCTGGAGGTCTCATCGTGGTCCTGCCAGCTGCGCTCGTGCTTGTTGTCGGGGTGCCAGCCTGCAGCACACGGGGAAGGAGAGGCAGGAGGGCTGTTAGGACATGACAGCACTTCCCTGGAGCCCTCTGAATGCAGCAAAGTCACCCCCTAGGCACCAGGGCTTGCTCTGCCCTGTGGCCAGGCCAGGAGCAGGTCCCCAGCCCAAGCCCCCACCTTTGAGCTCGCTGCGGTTGTTGGAGGGGTGCCTGTGCTGCTCGTTTTGCCGGTTGTTCCGAGAGGCTGTTTTGTCCCTAGGCACCTCTGACTTCATGTCTATCTGCAGAGGGACCCACTTGTGTTTGTTGCCTGCAAAAGGACAGGGTTTGGGTGTGACACAGGTTCAGAGTGTGTCTGCTTCCTCCCCCACAGGCCCCTCTTGCTATGCAACGCCCACACGTGGAGGGGAGAAAGGAGCAGGGCCTTTTGGACAGATCCTGTCCTGTGACATCCCTCCAGACCTCACTGGATGCTCTGACCAGGACTCTGAAACATGGAGGGACACGAGTCAGAACTTGCCTGTGGCATTTGTCACAGCACTTGTCCTTCCTCTGCCCCTTTCTGCCTGCCCAGGCTCAGGCCAGACAAAGCCCACGTGTCAACAACAGCTGATACAGCCCACAGTGAGGGATGTCCTGTGCCACCATAGAGCACATGGGAAGGCAGGCTCCTGCCCTGCCCCTGTTTAGGCCCTGCTCCACCTGCTCCCACCAAAATAACACCTGAAGCCTGCAAACACCTTTTCCCACAGCTGTCCCTGCACTGGGATCATGTTCTGCAGCAAGATCTCCAGGGAAGGCAGAGGATGCTTCCACCTGCCTGTGGGTTGGGAAGGGGGAGACAAGCTGAGCCTGGAGGACTGTCCCCACCAGCTCCTGCCTTACCTTTCTTCTTCTGAGCTGACTTCTGGTTGTCATCATCGCCATTCTTCTCCTCCCCAGACTCATCTGATTTGGTTTTCAGGCTCTCTTTGCCATCACTCCCATCCCCCTTTTCCTGCTCTTTCATGTCTTTCTTGATAGGCAGCTTCCGAAGGGACGGTGCTTTGTGTGGCTGCTGGGGACACACCAGTGCAGGAAAGATGTGAGAGATGGGAGCAGTGAGGAGCTGGAGGCAGACCCGGGCTGTCCCAGCGGGAGCAGGAAGACTTTGCCCTAGGCTGGGTGCATTCCTGCTCTGTATCTCCCAGAGCTGTCCTGCTCCTAGGGAAGGGCTCATGGCTGAGCAGGGCAAGGGCTCTTTGAGACACCAAGATGGGCTGTCCTGTAAGGGATCAGACTGCCCCAGGGGCAAAAGGGTGACTGACCACCTTGCCCTGACAGACAGCCAGGAGCTAGCAGAGCAGCACCCAAAAATAGAAAGGTTTCAATGACAGCCATGTCCTCAGCAGGGAGGAAGGGCCGAGCCCCTTCAGCACACCAAACCTTTCTCCTGCATTCAGTTCCTCCTGTGGAACTCCTGACTTTGGCCCAGTCCCTTCCTGCACAGAGCAGCCCTGAGGAGAGCAGGTCTGGGAGCTGGCCTACCTGCTCCAGCCAGCCCAGGGTTGACAGGGCTCCAGGTTCCCAGAATAGCACTGAGGGAGGGAGTCTGCCACACGGGCAGCCCTAAAAGGAAATTCCCTGCACACTATTCCTGGCTGCTCTGCACTGACACTCAGCACCCCAAATGGCCTGGCTCAGCCAGTGCTTCCAGAGGGATAGGGAGCTCTGCAAGGGCCTTATCCTGCCCATCACGATGGTTCTGTGTTCTCACCTGGACGCTCTTGTGGGCTATTTCTCCAGGTGTTGGCCAGTTTGTGGCATCACCAAAGTCACCAACCTTGCAGAAAAGAGAAAGGTTCCATTAGTGCACAAAGCTGCAGGTGTTCCCTGCATCAGGGAAGAATGCTTTCCACCCATCACTGTCCCACAAACAGCTGTCCCCAGGAGGCTGGAGGGGGCACAGCCACACTGCACATACACAGCCCCTTCCCCATAAAAGCAGGAACCCTGAACTAATTCCAAATAGCTGCAGACAAGTTTATGTCCATCAGGTGCTGTAACAAGGCTGCCACCACTCCTGCAAGCTCCCAGCCTCTCACCAAATATTCTGCCCCATCAGCAGCATTTGGCAGCCTAGGTTAACTCAGTCACAGGCACCATCTCTCGGACAGGTAAAGCACTCAGCTTACAGCATCCTAAATACACCTGAAGCAACTACATCCCACTGAAGAAGCTCTTCCACTCAGTGGCAGTCACAGCCAGGCACAGCCCCAGTGAAGTGCCCAACTACAACCACCACGTGCTGCCAACAAAGCAAGGGGATGGTCTCAGACTGGGTGAGAAAATTCAAGCAGGTGAAGGGAACTCCCTCATTAGTCACCCCATGGGGAAACATTAACTGCTTCTCTGCTGAATGAATGACCTGCTCACTACCATCATTTCTATCTCTTTCAAGGGTCAGAAGACCTGCAGGACACAGTAAAGAAGCCAAACAGCTGCCCAGGGACCAAACGAATTATGGCTGGGCACTGAGTTTATCAGGCACAGAAACTCCTCCTTACTCTTTTGAGATTGTTATTTCTGAATTAATCTGAAGTCAAATTAATTTTTTATCCTTCAGGAGATCACATCTTTACATGCAGGTGCCATGCTCCTCTGCCCAGGAGGCAAGTTTCCTGGGAAAACCAATTCTACTGCAGTGCCATGCCTGTTTCACAGAGAGAAGCACCTTCCAGCCCCAGGCCCTTCTCTCTCCAAAATGGAAGGGAGAAGGAAAGTCTTTTCAAGTTGCAGATATATCTCCACTGGTGGAACCAACACCAACAGCCCCTGTCCCCAGCTGTGCCCTAAAAGAAACTGTCCCTCCATCACCACTGATTCCCTGGAACAAACTGCCCTGGCTCCTCCAGAGGAGTTGCTTTGTCTGACATCAATTCCCCTGGCTCTCTCTGTGCCAGGGAGGAACAGACTGCACAGGGAAGGACAGAGCTGCAGGAACACCATTGTCACCACCCTGCCTGCACTGCAGAGCTGGGCATGGGCTGAGCCCACAAGAAATTTGGGATGTCCTCACAGTGGGGTGAGAAGTTTTCCACATCCAGGACTCATCCAAGTGCCTCCCTGTTAGAGGGGAGGTGAGAAGGTCTCTCATGAGCTAGTGGGCAGAAAACCAGACAGAGCAACATGCAAGACCCCTAAAATGCTGGAGAGGAGATAGAAAACAAGGCCAGTACATCAGCTTCTCCACAACCAAGCTTGAGAAGGGAGAGCTCTGCTCTCCAGACCCTCGAAAGGCTCATGCAGCATTGACAACTGCACCAGAAACTGGGGACCAGTGAGAGGAGAGCAGGCACAGCCTTACCTTGCTTCCTTTCCTCTGTCTCGGGTTGGCAGCCCTCACCACTTTTGCTGGAGTTGTAAGTTCTGCAAGAGAAGGACAACAAGTGTTAAAACACAGCTGAGAGCTGTGGGTGGGAGTGCTGGCTCTGGAGAGAAGTGGGCAGGAAGCAAAGCAGCTCCCCCTTCAGCAAAGGGGGGCTAAAAGGAAAAGGTAAACACAGAACACAGCCAGCTCCTGACTTGAGTATCAGAACTGCCCCATTAAGATCAGAAAACTCCTGACTAATCCAGGTGGCCCAGAGACGGACTTTTAACCCCATCCTGCTGCAGGAAGGCACTCCCTGCCTTAGCTCTGCCCTCCCCTCCTGCCCTTGCCAGCCAGGGAGGAGGGGGCAAGGAGCTCAGCTCATGCTGCAAAGCACCCACAGAACAGCAAAACAAACATGCCCTTGAAAAGCCAAGACCCATCACAGCACCATGAGGCTGGTACTCCCCAGGGAGCAGAGCAGGGCTCTGACAGAGGGACACAAAAGTCAGCGGCTGCTGAATCCTGGTTTGAAGTCAGGCATCCCAGCAGGCACAGCAAGTTCAAGAGAGGAAATGTACAGAGAGAATGAGCCAGATCCATCAAGGGCCTAATTCCTGCTACAGCTGAAAGTATTTAGATACTGAAGCACCTCTGGGGTGTTTTAACACATCAGAGTGAGACTGTTGGGGTTCACACCACCACAGACCTCACAGCAAGTCAAGATCTCAACCTCACCATGGCCCATCTTGGTTCCAGCTCACATACCACCTTCCTGCAAGATGAAACAGGAATACAACTTGCTTTGTGTCCCCCAGGTCTGGCTGCAAGGTCTCTGATCAGGCTCACACAGGGCATGCAGAGCCCGAGCAACAGAGCAGCACAACTCTGCCCAACACAAACCAGCCCCAAGGAGCAGGGATGAGGGTCTCCTCCAGGACACTGGTGCTCCACAGGGGGAGGAGAGCCTGCTGGGTCCTGTCCCGAAGGGCAGCCCATGCATGAGGATTTCTGCTGACTCACTGCCTCTGTTTAGAAAAAAAGCAGCCCTGACTGGGGTGGGGTGAGGGTGGGAGGATCGGCACAGGCTATCTGGGGATGCCCTGGGAAACACCCTGAGTAGTCTATTCAGCTCTGCTCAAAGATGCCTTTGATCTCCTTCTAAAGGCTGGACAACTTTGCCTGGATGATCAAAACCGGTCCCCTTCTGAGCCTCGAAACCAGTGATTCATCCTGGCCTTGCTCAGAGCTGGAGGCTTTGAAGTGTCAATAAGGCAGAGTCAGACATGGCAGGACAGAGCCATGTGCACTCCCCTTCCCCAATTCCTTTCTCTATGGCTCCTGCACGGGCATTTCAGCTCCCGAAGAGCCCAGACTCTCAGCCGGGTCCCAAATCCTCCCCTTTTACCCCAGGACTTCCCCAACCCACCTGCAGTGCTTCCCCTCATGAGTAGCAGCAGTCCCATGTGTCCCTCATTTATTCCATGTGCACTTCATTGAGAATCCTGGCTCCACGGCACAAAGCTTGCCACAAGGCTTTTAGATTTCCCTGCTAGTGTAGGAAGAGCCAGCGCTTTCAAAACAGCCCCCAAAATCCTCCACTCAACGCCCACAGATGTCACCAACTAAATATAGCTTCAAAAGGCACCAGGAGCTACAGCACAAGCCCACAGCCAGCCTGGTTTTCCATAGATACAGAGCACCCCTGCCTGTTCCTACAGCACTGTCGGGGCTGGTACAGCCTGATCAGGCTCTGATCTCCGGGGCTAGGGGACAGCAGGGCTCCCTCTTTTACTGCAAGGATCCCATCCAGGCGCCTGCTCCCACCACAGCACAGCAATGGCATCTGGCCCTTGCCTCCAGCTGCTTCACCTCAGGAGCCCTCAAGCTATAGATGCCCTCGTGCTTTTTTCTGGGTATCACTCAAAGAGAGGGGCCTCACAAGCAGCAGTGAAAGAGGACAAAGGGGCACAGGCTGCAGGGGCAGGTGCCGCAGACTCCATCATCTCTGCGGGGGAGGGAGGAGATTGTTTGAAACAAGTTCTGCTGCTTTCCTTATCTGCAAGATATGAACAGGGATCCCTTATCTCGCTGAGGTGCTGAGAAGACTAATTAGCATTTGCAGAGCACTGCGGAAGACAAAACACAAAGCCAAGGGCTGCAGTCCAGCAGGGAGGCTGCTCCAGGCTGGGGCTTCGGGCATATGGAGCGTGGATGGAGCCGAGATCCAGCAATTCATGGTGGAGACCAAAGTAGGAGACCGAAAGGGTGTGACTGTGCTGGTGCACACGGCCAGACACAGCATCTGCTGAGCCAAGACCAAGGCAAGCAGAGGCCCTGCACGCCTGGCACCCTCCAGGGCACAGCAACATAACCAAGGGCACCAGCAACACATATTGTGGTCCTCAGCTGAAAAGACCCCCTGCAGGAAAACCTGACTGCATCAGCCTGGGAAGTGGAGAGCAAGTGCGTGCTGCTCATTCCACGCAGGAGCTCAGCACAAGCAGTGAGGGACACTGGATACCGCCCTGGTTCACAGCCGAGCCTTTCAAAGCTGCTGACAGATGTCTCAGACCTCTGGGCGTCTCACAATCAACCGTCCTTTTGCATCTGTTTGGTGGCAGTAAGTAATTTCAGTTGCACTAGCAATGCCTGACCACCTCCTGAAAAACAGGGCCTCTCTGTGTGAGGGGACAGACAAAACAGCTGCAGCAGGAGCCAGGGCTTTAGTGGTGTGAGGCTGGCACGGGGACAGCGGGCAGGGAAGCAAGGAGCAGCTTTGCCTGCGGCCACAGAGCAGATGCTGGCACAGCCAAGAACAGAAAAGCAGGTCTCGAGTTTTGATCTGCTGCCTGCAGCCAGAACCTGATCATTTGCCCAACCATGGGATTGCCCAGCCACGTGGAAATTACTCCTTAGCAAGCAAGGGGACGAGGGACAGGTGGGAGCACCCACAGCAGCCCCAATGCTGCTATCACAGCCAAACCCTCCCCGTGGCCAGGCCACAGCCAGAGCACTCACTCATTTGGACACTCACTCCCCAGTGCAGCTGACAAACACCAAGGGCAAGGCTGTGCAGACACCTCGTGCTTTCCTGCAGCCCACATTTGGCTGGGGCACAGAGCCCTGGGGTGGGAGGCTCACAGGGGCATCCAGGTGAGCAAACACTTCTTACCGGGAAGAAGAACCCTTGCACAAGGACCAGACACCCAGAGTTGCAGCAGATCCACAGCTAAATGTCCCTCCACCCCAACAGGGACACAGACCACTGAACTCAAGTCAAAGAGACATCTATTACCTTATCAGGGAAAATGAAACCAAACACCCAGCAACTGGTTTTCTGCCTTCCCTTGCATCCAATGGAAATTATAATGGAATTTTAGAGAAGAGAGGGAATAAGTCTGCAGTGCTGGGCACAGACCTGGCATTACTGGAAAAATACCTGTACCTACAGCAAGAATGCTGTAATGCCTGCTCCAGGTGTACCACTCATGTGCAAGGGCAGACAAGGGCTTTGAGAACCCCAGCAGCAGCTGGGACAGCCTCAGAGGACAGCCCAAGCTCCCAGCAGGAATGCAGAGTCCTCAGCTCTGGCACACTGTCCCTGACACAGCAGCCAGGTCGACAGAAAGGAGCCATCCTGCTCCCTGCTCCACAGCCTGGCACCTGCCAGAAACTGCTGATAAAGGTGGTTCCAAGCCAAGAGCCTGGACTTTGTGCTGAAGGGGCTGAGGCAGGGACACATGCTCTGTGATGCAGCTCCTCCTCCTGCAAGAGCCAAACCAGTATCCCCAGAGCCCTGGCAGGAGCTGGAGGGTGCTGTGTGGGACAGACAGCCACGTGCCCAGCAGTCCACCAGGATCCACTTCACTCTTCTGTCTCCAAACAATCCTCCCTCCTTCCCACACTCCACACAACACTCCTGGCACATGTGAAGACTGTAAGCCATAACCAACACAACGGGACACCCACTCCACCATCAAGGTTTTTAGGTGAGAAAGAGTAAGTGAATGCTGGACAAGAGTGAGCTGAAAAAAATGTTTAAAATTTTTTCTAAGTGGGATTAGATGTTTTTCCAGGAGGTAGACAGGTCCTTCACAGTCATTTTGTGAGGGCAGAAGAGTCCCTCCTGGGGTACTGATACACAGGAAAGATGTGGTGAAACAGCACCAACCCACAAAGAAATTCCCGTAAAACAGACCCAGCAGGCAACCAGCCAAAGCCAGGCCTGCCAGGACCCCACTGTGGCTGCAAGAATCTCCTTCCTGGCCTAAAAGAAGACCTAGGGAGCCAATGGAGAACAGCTCCAAAGGTGCATCCCCACCTTCCCAATATGGGAAATTCAGAGCATCAACCCTCCAGGCCTCAAGCAATCTCTCTCCCAGGGTGGCCTGATCTGCACAGCAGCAAGGGCATGGCACGGATTTAGAGACTCTCCTGTGGCACTCATCACTGTCCATGCACTCAGCACAGAACGTGGAGTCTGAGCCTGTCCAAGCCATCAGAGGACACAGCTGGTGAGCTTCATATCCACCAGCAGCAGACAGAGACATTTGCAGGACCAGTCCTGCAGGCCAGATGTGACCTGCAAGCCCAACAGTCCCTGCTCCCACAAGCAGCCACCTTTTGCAGACAGTGACACAGCTTTTTTCTTTTCGAGTCCATCCCAAGAGGCCTCCCTAAAGTTACAGGCAGAGAAGCCTTAGGGAATGGGCAAACACATTATGCCCCTTTTGTGGGTGCTACACCCATTTCTGCATCAGCAAGAGGCTGTGGTGGGCAACACACCCTTGCTGCAAGGGGCTGGGAAGCACCAGCAGATGGGAGGGGACCTCAGCCTTCCCAGGGAGCCATCTGGTAGCACCCTGTGTGCAGAGAGATGCAGATACCCCCAGAGACCAATCAGCAGATCCAGCTCTGCCCTGCCTCCCAAGGAGCTGCTCCCAGCACAGCCTCAGCTGTGTGCCAGAGCTGAGATGGGAAACACTTGTCGCTGCAGCTCCACACACGAGCGGAAAAGCCTGGGATTTACTGCACTGACTGCTTGGCATGCTCACATTTTGCTGAAGGCATAACAAGGCACACAAAGCCAAAAAGGTTCAGGACAGGCTCAGCCTACAGATTGCACCTCCTCTAGGTCTGCAATGTTTTACCTACCACCAGCTCTACCTCCCACCAAATCGCAGTTGCAGCCAGAGAGGAAACAAGGGAGCACTGGATGGAGTTCTGCAACAGCTTTAAAATGAGATGTTATCACAAGGACATCTTCCAGCACAAATGGGTTGGTGTCTCCACAACAGGGGCTCCCAGCTGCTCCTGGGGACTGCAGAGAACTACAGCTGGCCCCAACACTTGCAGCACGTGGTCTCACAGCTCCCAGCAGGCAGCATTTGGCTTTGCTTACAAAAGTAAGAGGAATATCTGCAACACCTTAGCAATGTCCTGTACATGCAAGAAAAACTGCAGAAGAATGGCCAAGGTCAGGACCAAGCAGAAGACTGGATCCTTAAGGTGAATGGCTGTGCAGGATTCAGGTTTGTAAAGCACATGGGAAGCCTCCTCAGCTGGAGCAGGAGATAAGCTGCAGGTACTGTGGCTCAAAGCCTTCCAAGCAATTTTCCACAGCTCCTCGACAGAAGCTCCAGCGTACAAGCCCTACTGTAACAGCAAAGGAAGCAAGGAGCTGCCTACACCTCTCTGCAATGTAAGCTCTGTAACTGCTGCAAAGATCACTCGCTAAAAATAACTTCAAAAAGGGCATCTGACAGCTCCACAGAGAGCATGAGAACACTCCCACCTGAGTGTTCTACGCAGCTCCAGGAGCTCAGGAGTTTGTCCCGGAAAAGTGCAGGTAAGGAGGCTGGGGTACAGGCAGGTAAAGCCAGGACAGCATTGTCACAGGCTGAGTGTGCACATCAGTTATAATCCCAGCTCTCCAAGCCTTCACATCCCTCAGCTGATAGTCCTGAAATTCCCGGAAGAGGAGGAGCAGCTCAAGACGTGCAGAGCCCATCTCTGCTGACAGCACAGATCCTCACAGCGAGCAGGGGCTTCAGTCAGACCACAGCCCTCCTCAGGGAGCTGAGCAATAGCACTGCTCCTTTACATACACCAAGCTGCTACAAGCTCTACACACACATGCATTATCTTCAGAATCTGACATTTATTTCCAGAGCAAATGAGGGGCAGGAAGGGTCTGGACTTACCAAAAACGCATGACCATCTTCACTGCAGCCTCTCAGTCCAAGACACAAACACTTCAACTCGTGCCCAGGCTACACTCCAGGAGGAGCGGGTTAGGAAACGCCGACAGGCATTTCTAACATTAACAGTGTCAGTGAGGGTACCCTGGATTCTTCCTGGCACAGACAGCTACTACTAAAGGTAGCAAATGAACTCCTTCTTAAGGGCGAGTGACATCTTTCCACCGCCTTTTCAAGGAAAGCTCTTCCCGGAAGAGGATTTCTAGGAAACTCCTGACACACAACCCATGCACACAATTCCTGAGATGCCAGGCACACACAGAACGAGACGGCACGTGAATCACCTCCCACCCAGTGTTCTGCAAAAAGAAAACCAAAACTCCTAAGCGAAGGATTCCCTCCAGGGGAAGCCAATGGCTCCCAGAAACCAAGAATCATCACACAGGGGACACAGCCAAGGTCACCCAGCTGACCAGACTTCAGAAACTGTCAAAATGAGGAAGTTGGGCTGGCTCAGGCCCCCACAGCTGCTGAGCCATCCCGTTCTCTCAGAGCAGGGAAAAGGCACCCACCACCTCTGCAGGAGAGGCTGCTCCAGCACCAGCGCCTGACCCAGTATGTCTGGTGCAGACACACCTCCAGCCGGCAGAGCATGTCACTAGAAATTCCTCTGCCGGCATGGAAGGCAGAAAAACCTTCAAGGACACCTGCGAACACTCGTTAGGTTAAATGGTTCAGGGAGAGGGGCTGGAAAAGCCAGGGGTGCTCCAGGGAGAACACTCCAGAGAAAACACCATGTCAGCCTGGGCCCCTGGGAAAAGGCACGAGTCCATCCAGCTGCTGCTCCAGGCACGAGGCACAGCAAGGACACCAGTGCTGGGACACGAGGGCACCTGAGGCAAGGCTGCAGGGGCCCAGGGTAAGCAAGTGAGCCAAACTGTGGAAGAGATGGAGGGTAAGGCCCTCCTCCAAGCCAGCTCAGAAAGCAACTGATAGTTCATGATATAAAAACTAAAACCAGTGGCGGGGGAGAGGGAGGGTTGACATGAAGAGGAACTAACTACAGGACAGCAAAGGCAGACACCAGGCAAGACTCACAACTCCTTATAAAAAAATTAAAAAACCCAACCCAACCCACTCACCTTTGGGGACAAGTGATTTGCAAATTAAAGGGGGGTGTCCACCCTCCAGGAGAGATCAGGTGCAGTTTCCTCTGCTCCTGTGTACCTCTGCTGCACCGTTCTGCCCGTCTGCCAGGCTCTAATGAAAAGCTAGTTAACAGTTAATTATTACCCATTCAGACACACGATCCCCTACTCTGACTGCAGGCTGGGAGGGATAAGGCGGTCACGTGATGCAAAAATCCCGACCTTATAAAAGCACGGGCAACTATATTTAGTTGGAAAAACGATGACCTAGCGAGCCTGCTCCTCCCTGGCCCCCCCTCAGAGGAGCCGACCTGCCACCTCCCAGGATCCTACCTCCATGGCACCCGGGAAGACCCTCAAGCCAGCAGGAGTTGTAATACTTAAAACAGGGACAGCTGGCACAGGAGCAATCCCTGTGTGCACAGGAGCAATCCTGGGTGGAGGGGCCAGACCAGTATACAGCCCAGACTGGGGGAACCCTCCCTGCCCATCCTCAATGCTTTGCAGACGGTCACCTTGTCAGCAGCAAAAGCTGATAAGCATCAAGAGCAACGAACAGGGACCTAGCCCAAGGCCCTGGACTTTATCTTGAAAGCAGGAAGCACACTGGGAACCTGACCAGTGTGAGGAGCACCGGAGACACATTCGGCAGCAATGCTCCAGATGCTGGCTTCTCCATGGGCTGGTGATGCCCAGAGCAGGTGACAGGAGTTTGCCCCCCTGGATCAGTCTACCCCTCTCTCCTCAGGGCAGCTAGGTTACCAAGATAGACACCAGTGTACTGAGAACCGAGGAGGAGCCAAGGCAGCATCACTACTGTAGAGAGATGGCCCTAGAAAAAAGGTGCAACAACAAAATCCAAGAGCATCACCTGCTCCTTCTGCAGTGAAAGAGCTTCAAAGCAGAATTAAAACAAGAGCCTGAGGACCAGCCATCATTAATCTCTTGGCATCAGCAGAAGGGTGCTCTCTGCCTGGATCCCTCTATGGCTGAGACAGCGCGGCCAGCGGTGCCCGCGGCTCGAGCGAGAGGAGGTCCCTGCATCGCTGCCGAACCCGTGCTGACACGATCCCTTTAATGGCCGTCAGCCTCTTCTGCAGCTGCATCTGGGGACTTGGAAGCTGACAAAACCCTTCCTGGGAAGCATCTGGTACGTCTCACTGTAAATATTTAACAACGAAGAGACAAGAATCGAGAGCCAAACGCCTGCAGAGAGACCCTCCAGCTCCAAGCGTTCACGCTGTCTAGGAGGAGACTGTGCAGCTCCCAGTGTGCGAGTGGAGGGAGAGAGGGGTCGTACAAGGCAAAAGTGCAAACTCTGCACAAAATGTGCCTCTGGAAAACCTGTCATATCAAAGAACAGAAGGAGTTTTCAGAAAGCAGACTGTGATGTAACTCAACATCATTGTGAGTTCCTCCTGCTGTGATTCCTGTACCTTCCTGGCTACTTTTGCAGAGGCATCCCTGCAGGACCAGAGTGTCATCTGAGCAGTGGCCACTTGCTAAGTGACCACTTAACCTTGCCCTTAGCCTGCACAGCTGCAAACCTGCCTCCCTGACTGTATAGAACAAGAAGAGACTGAGCAGCAGCTCAGCTTGTGAGGTCAAGGAAGGCAAAGCCAGCACTGTGCAGAAATCCAGCTCCATCTTCCGGGGGCAGGGAAAAGTAATAGTGATTTGGTGGTAGGAGCAGGTGCAGCAAACTTTCCCAGGAATTTAGGGAGGTCATACTTAGGTCTCCCACTAAGTAGAGTGTCTCCATAAATGAGCGGAAGAAATCTTACAGTCTCATAACCACCTGCATTATTCTGAGCACAGGTATGGGGGCTTCCTCCTGTTGGTGAATCCAGAGCATTAAAACCATGACAAGGCACTCAAATACCCATGTGATCTTTGAGAGAAAGCACAACGGCTTCTTTTTGTGCTACTTCAGGATTACTGCACCTCAGCTGAGCTGATTTCAGGGTATGCTTTTCCAAGCAGAAGATACACCATCCTCACTTAAGTGAGATGCAGTGACATTCCAGGTTTTTCTAAATAACTCTGATATAGCAACTTCCTTCATGGGTTCACAACCACATGAATGCTGCTGCATAAACCACTCTCTCTAATAAAGCTAATTCCAGTACTACAGATGGCTGCCTCCCATGTCAATACAGAGCATAAAAGAGTACAACACCCTAATCAGACTAAGTCTTCCCAAAGGAGTCAGGAATACCCAATTACAAAAGAGTGCAACAGCAGTTTTCTAATTTAAAGATCCATCTCCCCTCCTTTTATTTCTAAAGGATTAAAAACCACCTCCTTGCAGTGGCAGCATCACCCTCATCTCTTTATGGAAAACTTCACAGCATTTAATTCAAAGAGGCATTTATAAACTCAATAAAGATATCTCAGACACTGCTGACAGTTGTACAAAATGATCAGGTCAGGGTGCAGCAGATGAAAAAAAGTCATCAGGAGTGGTGAAACCAAGACAGAGCATCACTTGCTGCTCTGCTGAACACCAGCACATCCACAACTGCACCCTGCAGTCAGCTCTGGTCTCTGGAATTCAACAAGGGCACAGGGCTGTTACAGCTGCTCAAAGAAAAGCAATTAAACCACCAAGAGGCAGTTCCTCGAGAGGTGAGACTAAAAAGGCTGGGATCCTCCACCACGGAGAGGAGGACGGCTGGCTGCAGCATGTAGGAGGCCAGGAGGGCACAGGCATAGCACACTAAGCTAGCAGGAGATCCACTTCAAGTGGCAAAAACATTCCCTTCCAAAGCAGGGAGCAAATTTCACATAGTAGCAAGTCCTGGAAGCTGAACAGCATCAGCTCCGTGGCAGAAGAGTTTGATGTTCACAGTGCAGTCGTTCACAGACATCCAGCTGCAGATGTGCCCTCCCAGTCCTCCTCAGCAGCACAAGTGGGAATGTGAGAGTCCCTCTGCCCACCAAGCCGAACCCTGCATCTCAAGGGTGTTGAAGTCTCTCAGCTTTCTGAACTCCAGATCACATGGTTTGAAAGGGCTTCTTCTGAAAAGCACCCTACAGCTGCCAAATCCTGGCTGTGGGATGTGGGAGAGAAGAGGACTGAGGCACTGCAGTGCCAGACAGAAGTAAAGTGAGGCCTCTCTCCACCAACTGCTCTATTTGCAAACACTATTAGGTAACTGGGACGCAAACACTGCTTCGCTTCCACCTCCACAGCGCTCGCACGTGACACGGGGATGATCCAGGCTGAGGATCCAGGCTGAGGGCAGGACACCACTGGCATCCATATGCTAACAAGCAGGAACATGCTCTGGGGCACAATAAAGCTACTGTGCCTACAAAATGGCTGAATTTTGGCTCAGGCACCCCACCTATGCAATTCCCAACCCTGATACTGCAACTCAGCATCTTCCATCACTCTGCTAATCATTTCCTTGGGAGAAGACCAAAAGGCTTCTCACCCAGAGTGGAAACCAGCCATAAAGACCCACCTGACTTCACAAGATTAAGCTTAAAAAATAGACCACTGACGTGTGTGGGAGTTCTGGTGACCAGAGTAAATTGACTCATTCAATAACCTCAGCAGCTGAAAGGAGGTGAGACAGTCAAACCCAACAGTCTCAGGAGTGCACAACAGCTCTGGTGGCAGGAGCAGTGCCACTCTGCCTTTGCCTGCTGCCTTCACACTTCACTGTGTTGGGAGATACAATGGCTTCCAGATAAGCTTAGTGCACGGGAAGAAAAAGCATGGCACCAGCTTTAAGGCTTTTCTCAAGAAAAGTATGAGAACGACTGCACATTGTCCTGTGCAGCTACCATTTAGAGGAATCCTGTTTAAGCTTTAACTTATCACCTAAAAAACATAAAGAATTGTAAAAGAAGCCCCAAGATCTGTAGGTAATGTTTTCTCCAACACTGCTGACATGTAACAAGCACTTTCTGAAGCACTATCATCTGCTGCAGATACACACTCATGCCCCACCCTGGAGGCAGCTGTGCAAGGTCCCCAAGCAGCTGGAGAACAGAGGATGGAGTAGTGCCAAGCAAAGGACATCTCTGAGTTCACAGCACAGGCAGACAAAACCCAATACCCAAAGAAGACAGATCTTCAGCAAGGTAGGGAAAAATCTCCTAAAAACTCAACAGATGGGAATACATCTTTGCTCTTCAAAACCCTAATATTTCACTCTTACATGTTTAGAAAGCAAGAAAATCATGAGGGACTTGGAAATGTGGAATCAAAGTCTTAATCCAGTGCATCTAATTGTACACCACGGCCTTGTTAGCTGGCTAGAGCTCTGGAAACACATCCGAAACTTCCATCCCTCTGTTCAGTTCAGCAAGTTGAATTACAGTGCCTCCAATGTTACACCAGACCACTGTAAGCCAGTCAGTTATTTTTACTGAAATCAGCTTTAAGACACCAGATTTCCATACTCCAAATTCCTCTGCCATCATCAGCGATTTACCCTCATTCTATCCATGAACTGGTGAAATGGGATCCCATGCAAAGCCAAAGATGGACATCAGAGGGGGACACAGCGACATGCCTGGGTTTCACTCCCAGTGCCTTTGCTATGGCACATCCCCACATGGCACTACCAGGCTCTCACTGACTGATCTTGGTATCATTGGTTAAAACATAAACCTTTCCTTCAGTCTTGGCATTTCCACAACATCAGCCTGGATGAGGAGCTTCTGACAATTTGGGAAAGGCAGGAATTGAGATCATCAATATCTGCTTCTGAAAACTACATTCCTTTCCTGATTTGAAACCTAAATCCAGAGCAACCTCCCTCTCCCAGCAAGGCTGCAAACACCACTGGGGCCAGGAAATTTTTTCTTTGCACTGATGGAAACACAGTGAATACCTTGGTTGTCCTTAACAGCAATACTCAACAGCAACACACAGACTACAAACCATGGGAGAGGTGTCTTCCCAAAGTATTGCAAATTCAAATATATATCCTCAGGTTCTTAGACACATCCATCTGTATACAGGTAACATATAAACAACAACAATCTGACTTATATTTGCATCTTGACACGTCAGTCTTTTCAATTATGTGTGATGACCAAGACCTACAAGTTCCCAAACTCCTTCGCCCCGGACATCCAAATTTGCTATGCTACAATGTATGGGAGGAAAGAACCTTCCAGCTGTTTAGTCATCACTACATGAAAGCATAAAAGATGTCACTGCTATACAGAAATGACCAAATATTAGAGGTTTGTTTAGGAAGTTTTTTTGCTTCGGTTTTTGGGTGGGGTTTTTTTGGGGTTTTGTTTGTGGTTTGGCTTTGTTTTTCTTTTTTGATATTAATGTCCATTGCATATTCCAGACTGTACACTGCATGTACCAGTCTTCTAAGCCTGGTTAGTGCTGACTCTGAAGGAAGAGAAGTGCAGGGAAGGCAAGTGAGAAGGGGATTTGAAGAGCTCAATTTTTATTTAATACATACCAGACTGGCCGTCAGTTGGAAATATATCTGTAAAAGAAAAAAAAAAAAAGCATCAGTATTGGTTGCAGCTGGAGTGCAAATCGTATTTAAAAGGTCTCCTCTTTCGATTTGTTTGCTTTAGCTAAACAGAGGAAGTATTTTCTTAGTATCTCAAGTTAAACATCAATCCAGCTTGGAACCCACCTCAATTCAACCACTTGTTGTAAGAAAGATTTTGAAGGATTCTGTGTTTACCCGAATGCGCTGCTCTCATAAATAAACTTCTGTATTGGTGTCTAGCAGACAGTAGTGCACAATAATAAAGGTTGTTGAGATGTGCAAAGATCCACAAAACACACTACTTGGTGGCACCCCACGCTCCCCCTGAGCTGCAACATCAGATGGAAATCTAGAGAGAACATCTAACCGGGAACACAGGTGGGAACCAAGGCAAAAGCCAAGTGAGCATTCTTTGGCTCATCCTTGGTTTTGCAGCCACAAGGGACATGAACAGCTGTGCCTGGCTCTAACACAGCACCTACACCAGACACACACACCCATCACCAAATGGACACTCAGGGCCTTGGCACATCACCTATCACACCAGGAGAACCCCTTCCCTTTCCCAGCTCAGGTGTCTGTGTCAGCAGGCATAGGCCACTGCACAGGACACATGGAGTCTGGGGGGGTTCAGACCCCAGAACAGATTATTCAATCTCCCCAGCACCCCAGGCTCTTTCCAGTTAGAGGTACAGGCTCTTCTCTTGGAGGGCCTTGTGTATTGCCAGGAAGATGTTTATTTAAGTAGCTGGAAGGACCAGACTTTTCATTTAAGAAGCACACAGGACAGTGTGTGTGGAAAACCCCTGTTGATAAAGGCTCCCCCAGAAGATATGAAAACAGTACTTTTGAGAGAGCAATACATTATGTTTTCTCCAAGGATCCCAGAAAAGGAGGGGGAAGGAAGGCTGCCAGCAAGGCAAGGTCCTCCTGGGACAGGGGCAGGCCCCTGGCTCCTGCTTATCAGCTACCCAAAACACACATTCAGCTGGAAAGTCACAAGAGTTGCAGCAAGGACTACCCCTCAGGCAGGGCAATGCTCTCTGGCCTGGGCTCAGCTCATGCAAAAACAGCAAAAACACCCTTCTGCCAAAATAACTTCTGTTTCTCTTCCTTTGACTTGCACCATGTTCAAAGCATTCTCAGGCAGGGATGCTTTCATCTCACATAGAACTTAAGAGCCAAGTGGAGCAAAAATACCCAGAAGTTAAATCAAGACTCCTCTCTACCATTATTACACCGTTATGGTCTGTGGCCATTTGAAGGCATGATATCAAGGACAGGCCTGCACACCCAAAACAGTCTCCAAGCACCAGTTCGGATCCTTTGCAAGCTGCATGTTCTACTGCAATGCTCCACCAGCCCATGTCCCAAATGCATTTAAACATCTTATATTTCTGTATGGTCACTGAGGAGTTCAGGCTTCTACATCAGCAAGCTCAAACTCTCTGTACTTCATATAATCATAAAATCATTAAGATTTGAAAAGATCTTAAAGATCTCAAACAAGATACAATTTATTTCCCTACTTGGGCTTCTCTGCAAAGGAACAAGATAGTAACGCTGGTATCCCACCTGTTTGGATCAGCTGTACCAGATGTTACCAGAAACCAAAATAAATAACATCATAATGGTTGATAAAATAAATCCCTTTGTGCCAGCCAGGAATTTAGCAAAGTCAGGCTTTGGCAAATATTCCCCTTGCTGTACCCTGAGGGGTGCAGCTCTCCAGTCTGCATTCCTGCTAGGCTGTCCCACCAACTCTTCATCAAATACATACCACAGCAGAACCAGCCATTCACAATAGGTCCAGGCTCTGGACACCACAAATGCCACCAAATCAGGCAGCAGCTGCAGGTGACCCGTCAGCAACATCTCCTATCAGACATGTCACCACCACAACTCCAAACTCACATTCCCTCAAGGTCTCCTCTCAGCTCACTGCTGTATTCCCCACTGCCTTGTCCTGCTCTAGATGTGCAGCAAGGCTCTCCTGGCTCCTCCTGAGCCCAGACACAAACTCCAGAGCAGCTTTGCCACCACATTTACTAGAAAAGCACTGACTCTACTCAGTGGCTGAGGTCAGTAGAAAGCAAGGACCACGTGTGATGGCCAAGGGCAGATACAGCTCACATTCACCTCAAGAGGTTTGCCAGGGCAACTCCTATCAAGGAAAGACACTTGCATTCAGTGCTCAGCCCCCTTGTCTGGGAGAGGCTGACCTTGTCCAACTCATCACACCTATGATTAACACAGTTTTAACTCCAAGGTCTCCAGAGCAGACTGAGAACACTGGGCTTGCACGCAGCTTTCCCCAGAGCTGAGAACAAGCACAGAGCAATCAGTCTGCAGGACTTGCTTTGAAAAATGGGGCTGCTGGGAGGACACATCTGAGGCAAGGCTGGTCAGGGACTGGCAGTCACAACGACCCTTTGGGACACCTTTTACCCCTGCAAGCACAAGTGACTTAAAATTAAAAATTAGCCTGCCAATTAAGGGCAGCACCTCAGGTGCCCAAGAGAAGTCTAAATCAGGCAGTGCTTTCTTTTCCCAAGAAAGCCATGGTAGGGAAGCAGGCAGAAACGTACGTGGCCAGCAGGTAAACCCCTGGGCTGCCCTCCAAGGAGCCCATCTCATTCACTGTAGGACTGAGCCTGCCTGTCCAGGTCAGCTCCCTTCCCAGCTCTCCCAAGGCTAAAACTCAAAGGACCAAGGCACAGAGAAGAGTTTCTTCCTCAAAGACCCAACAAAAAGGTGAAGCCAGCAAACCAGCCCCACCAATTCCTCCCACCACACACCTGCTACCTCCCAAGGCACCCTGATGCCAGGTATCCCAACACTGGCCAGATGCTGCAGGACAATGCTTCACAGCAGCTCTCCATCATCCCATCATCCACCTGCTCAGCAGCAGGCAATCCCTACATGGGACCCAGGCCTGCATAACACCCTCCCAGCCAGGCCCAGTGGGAAGGAGCAAGAAATAACAGTATCACAATGCAAACGAGCAGACCCACGAAATTTGGACCCTAGGTCTCATTTCCTTGTCTTTCTTGCAGACACTTTTGTTTCTCACCATGCACCCAAAATCAGAAAGACTTGGTGTCTGAACAAAGGGACTGCAGTCACCACGGGAAACAGTGATCTCTTCACCGTAGCACCAGTCTCTGCAGAGACAGGTATTTCCCAAGCCCCTGATCATTTTCCCCAGCCCTGTACAGAATCCATGCAGCCTACAACATCTCAACAGAAAGACACATTCTGTGAATCTTCCTGTTGTTAGCAAAGCAGGCTGGAGGACGGAGTGAGGAGGAGGTCAGGGGTGTGCATGGCAGCTGGCAGGATGTTGGGACAGGCACGGAACATCCCTTTCAGGAGCATCAGTGAGGGTGCAGACGTGGTACAGGGGTGCTTGCTCTGGGCACCAATACCCACAGTTGCTGCACACAGAGCCCAGGAGATCAAACTAAATTGAGGGCAGTCGTCCTTATTTTAGGTGGTGCTGGGGGTGGATTTCAAATTCAATTTTTGCCTGATGGTATTTTTACACAAAGGAGAAGACCGTACACTAAAATGGGGCATTTAAAGAGAAAAACTGATGCATCCACACACATACCCCCTTCCCCAGGGGCTATCTGGCTACTGCTGCTATTCAGGTATCTGGGGCAGGTCCAAAAAAGTCACCCCATTTGTGAGCCCCCATTTGCCCTCCGAAGGAAGGGAGATGTTTCCCTGAGGAAGCATGCGCTAACCACGCTGCTGCACCAGCACGCTCACAGTGCTGAATCCAAACGCCTGCACAGGAAGCCTGTCTTCTCTACAGCTGGGAAGGGACCTCCACCACCCGCTGCCTGTCCCCAGCCCCACTTTTCCAGTAGGGACACTGCTTCCTCCTGGCAGGGCCCGGAGGCAGCGGCTGAGGAGCAGCTCATTATCCCTGACGCAAGAGAAGCGCTGACTCGTTATTACAGCAACCTGCAGCCATAACTGCCGAGGGGCCGCGGCCGCAGGCCCGGTGCCAGCAGGAACCAGCTCCCTGCTGGCCCCCACCTCCCACTGCCCTTCTGCTCTCCAAAAGGAGAAAAACGACCTCAGAGTGGCTTTATGCCACCTGCCAGACACCAAAGCGCACTGACCAGTGTGCTGGGTGAGAGCTGTGCACGGACAGGAACAAGACGCAGCTCCTTGGCTGCTCCCACTGGGACATGGGGCTCATCCACACTGCCACAGGAAGACACCAGCTGATTTGTTCTGGCTTTCGACTCATGAAGTTATAACCAAATCATCCTCCACGTTTTGCAGACAAAAGACTCGGACGTCAGCAAAAAAAAAAATGACCTCTCCAAGGTCATAGGGGGACTCACAGCAGGGACACGACCAGAACTTGATCACAATGGCTCAAAAGCTGCAGGGCTGCACTGGCTGCCCAGAAGAGGGCCTGGGGAGGGAAGTGCTGGCAGATGGTGGGATCGATTGGTATCTCTCCTCCTAACCTGACCTGCCGCCTGGCAGGGACAACCCAGGCAGGAAAAAGGTCCAAATTACATAGTCCAACATGTACTGCAAAGAGACCAGAGCTGCTTGAATCTCTTCTCTGGCCCTGTGCAATATTTCAGTTCAAATCTCTGTCACCAGGCTCCCCCTCGGAGGCCAAGGCAGTGCCTGCAGGTTCCCAAGACAGTTACAGGCCCTTCAAAGCAACACTCAGTGGAGAAGGGAGTGAGGTCTGCTAGGGAAAAGTAGCAAAGCAAGAAACCCTAAACCCGAAAATTAGCATGGCCAATTATATCCCTCCCAAGATCTTGTTTGCTTCCTGTTCCCCTCCTTTGTTACCTGCTGAGCAGGATCGGGGAGGGTCCAGGTCTCAGTCACCCAGATCGTCCCAGCCTGCTCCAACCGCCAGGTCCTCGCAAACACCTCCCATACCTCTCAGCTTGCTAGAGGGTATTGAAGGTAAACCCTCAAAGAGAAGCTGAAGCATGAGACGGATG